GTCTCAATGGTGGTTCACCAAATTGAGAAATTGGAGAATAGAGAAAAAAAGAGTGGGGCAGGTGAGGCATTAAGTATTAGTTCACCACTACATCCAATGTATGCAAAGTTTTACCTTCAAAAGTAAACAACAGAAATTATTCTCTAGTTATCCTCTAGAGCATATTCTCTAGTTCATCTCTGTCACATGTTTATCTGTGTGTGACATGACTAGGCCAAGAGAAGAGCAAAAATACCATTCTGGTCTATTCACTGTGTCTGTACATTAGAAACATTCACATCACTCAGAACCTGCAGTGTTAACCATAGAAGAAACTGAATGTCTATTTAGTATGTTCTAGAAAACATGGCACATTGCTATATGGTAAATCTGAGAAGCTATAGTTTTTTAAAGTTAATCATATTGCTATGTTAATTGATTAAAATTAAATGCTGGCTAATGTTAAAAGTTATATTGCTGAGAATCTTAGCACCTGAAGGATGGAGGGAGAAGCAGGAAAAAGATTGGTTTTTAGAGATCAGGTTTGATTTCAGCATTTGGATGTAAAGATGATCATGGAAGGCTTTGTATAGGTGTTTATGTAGGTGAAAGTATAAAGCTGAACCAGCTTGCTGCACCACAAGCTTTGTTGGAACTTTTTGTTATGATCAAATTCCTATATTTCTAGCACATAGGGTCCAATGGACCCTCAACATCTCAACATTCAGTATATTCTGTGGCAAATGGAAACTAAATTTTAATTCATGGGTGTTGTCACAGAAGATCGAACATCAAAGCATGTTACAGTTTTAGTTTGAACCATATGGATAATATTAAAAAATTAGCTTGGTAAAATTTAGGTATTTGCAGTACTGCAGTTCCACATGGATGCTAAGGCCCTAACCAAACTTTCCAGAAACTCTGGTCACTATTTATTATGAAGGCATGAAGAACATGAAAGCTAACAGTAAACCAGATGCTTATCAGGTTAGGAAATAATTGTCTTGTTCAAAGCAGTCTCTTTTTCAGAGAGTTAGTATTGTCTAATTGACTTCTTCAAAGGCTAGTGTGAAACTAGTTTGGAATCATTGTTAGACATCTCTCCATCTATTTGCCAACATGTCCCTTTATTTTGTCTAGAAAATTAATTTAGGTGAAATTTGCAGAAACTCTGTGGATATTTGACAGCTTGAGTTATTCTCTAAGTATGTGTAGACCTACAACTACACAAGGTGTACAGTAGATGACATCCATTAGCGAAGTTCTGAACCAATTGCATGTATATTGCCCAGATTGTGTGCCTAGCAAATCCAGTGTAGTTCTGGATGGTTTGGACTTAATATGCATGGGCAGATCAACAGTGTATTGCGCAATTATACAGATGAAGCCAAATAACTTCAGAGTTATTTTGCATGTGGTTTACAGATGGTCCATGCACACAGAGTACATTGAGTGGGCTCTGGAATTATCTCTCTTACAACAATGTATATTAGAAAGTATATATGACTATATTTTGCCTGCAAAATTTCAGAAGAAACACAATTATTCTATTCTCAAATGTTCTGAGCACCTTATTTTCCAAAATTTGAAATGTTTTGCCTACTGATACACTGCTCATAAGAAAGCACAATTGGAGATGAAGAAGGAAAAAAAATCCCATTCACTCCAGAAGGAGAGTAGGAAAGAATTTAGTAAGAAATCTGTATTTTGTGTATTCTTATATTCATTCCTCTGTTGAATTACCAGTGCTATGCTAAAGAAAAGAAAAAAGTCCATTTGGATGGTGTAAGCAATCTGTAGTTATTCAATTAATATTTAATAAATCACTTGATAGATATCAGAAGGATATCAGTTGATTAATTGGCCTGGCATCAATTGTTATCCATCCCCTACACAGATAAGTGAGAATAAATTCATCGACTATAATAAAGGAAATACAAACTTTCAGTTAACCCCTGTGATATGACAGATGAAAGTGATTTAGGATTAAGACTGTAGTGAATTCTGTACGTAGTTAATATTGACTTTAAAATTATAGATGACTTCTATTTGCAATTCTGAAGACTTACAATCATGGAAATGCATGAAGAAAAGGAAAATTTATCTGGAATATCATCCTCTAATCTGCTAAGTAGAGGATAAAAAGTATTTAATCTTCATAAAGTCTTCTGAAACATTTTGTTAAGTACAGCCTACTCAGATTTAGATACATCTAAAGGTGTGTATCTGGCTAGCTCCATGCACATTGGACAGACTTGAGAACATTCTAGGATTAATTATAGAAAAAATAACATAAAGTTTCTTTCTACAGAAAAAAATACAAGTATTATTAGAAAAGTCCACGGCATTGGCTGTTTTTAAACTCAGTATGTAACACAGTGGCTGTATCCAATGTTTTTGCAACGTAACTAATGGCTATGAGAAGTAGCTTGCTTCCGTGCACCTGCAGGCTTACCATCTTGTTCTGCGTGCCAGCTGGGGACACTCAGCTGAACTGAAAGGCGATCCCGAGAGAGCACCGTAGGGTTTCAGAGCTCATCTTTGCTGACTGCTTGCTGGCCGTCCATTTCCTTCCTCTTCAAAACACGAGATTGCCCTTGCTACTGTCCGGCGCCTCCCTCCCACTGCGCCAGGACTCGTTTGGCTTGCTGTGCCCCCCTGGCCACTATGGCAGGGAACACCGAGCGCCCTGCGCTGTGGGCTTTTTGGACAATGAAGGGAATTTTCAAAGGAAAAATGGCAAAGGGGAAAACCAACCTCCCGGGTCTCCCAAGGAGGAGGAGAGGAAAAGGCGGGCATGGCTGTGTAGCCTCATTTGCTGGTCCCCGTGGAATTATACTTAGGCTGAGAAAGGAGAGAAGAGGAAGAGAAGAGAAGAGGAAGAGAGAAAAGGAGGAGGCCTTCATCCCTTCCAAGAGCCTGACTGTCTCTCAAGTCTTTGTATTTCCCTGAAGCCCACAGAGCAAGTAGTATCCACCTACAGCTGTGGCTCCCATAATATTTGAATAGTCTCTTAGTATGAGATCTGTTTCCCAAATTACAGTGCCATTTGTGGGGATCAGTTTGGGGATCAGCAAGGTCAGTGGTGTGGCTAGCAGTTTTTTCTCTTTTCCCAATATCCACAACATGTGACTGAACATTAACAAATAATGTCAGAGTGTACAAACTGTGAGTTTGTAACTTTTCAGTAGTTCAAGAGACTGAAGAGTCAATTCCCAGAAGTAAACAGAACCACAAAATGGGGAGCTGGGGGATGTCTAGAAGATGCTCTCTATGTGGAGGAAGAGATAATTGGTCTCTGGTTGAGAGAGTTGGTTGGTTGAGGTACAATTTCTTAAATCCTTTTTCCCCCTAATGAAGAGAGAACAGCACAATTCCATTTCCTTTCAGGATTAGAAAGAAAGGAAAACTTTAGAGAACTGTTTTCGCGTGAGTCTACGCTCTGCATGGGTGAATACTTTGTGTTTTGGTAGGAGATTAGCTCCCTTTAATTTTTTTACAGTGAGAAATCTGCCACCTTGATTCTTTAGAAGTTATTCTTCCGATTGTGGGTGATGATTCTATACAGCCAAGTGAAATATGTTTTAATTTTTCTGAGAAATCAAGAAAATTGGGGTTATAAAGCCCATAAGCACTTTGATGCCTTTTTCTTATTGTATGCACTATATTCCACTCTCAATATATATGTGTGATCAAGATGTTTGTGCTTACCCTGGCATTAATGACCTAGAGGATTTGGGCTTTATTACTTAAGATATTTTAGCGAGCTTCTTTTTCATTTTCCAGCTATGTTTTTCTTTCTTCTCCCTTTATTTCTCATCTGATTTCTTATTCTCCTTGTTGACTTTTCCTTAGTAGAAAGTTTAACCCTATCTATGATTGCTTCCCTTCCTGCTCCTTTCCCAGTGTTCTGTTCTTCCACCTAAGTTTTTATTTTTCTTTGGTTTCATCTCTGCATTTTTATACTGTTAATCTTCCAGTCTTCCTATTTTTTCCTTTTCATATTCTTCACTTTCTCCCCTATTTTTTTCTACATTCATTTACGGTCGACTCTTGTTTCCATTTTTTGCTTTATTTTCCTTATCTTTTTCAGCTTCTTCCCATAATTCCTGGTTTTGGTTGTCACCTTTTCATTTGTTTTAATATGTTTTCCGCCAACCATCTCTTGTATTTTTAATTCTCTGTCATTCCATATCTCTAGCTTATTCAGAAGCATGAAAGATGCCAGATCCATAGTTTTAACAGAACTTCTCCCCCCCCTTCCCATCTGGTTTTTCTCGGTTGCAATATATAAATAAACACGTATATTAGAATACTTTCAGAATTATCCAGTTGCAGATATTGAATAAAGAACCAGATATATAGTAACAGTTAAATTGAAATAAAAATAGGCAGTTGTTCTTATTATTATCTAGAATAACTACCCATACAAAAACTTACTTGGAACTACTGCTTTACTACCTCATAATACGCAGAGTTGATTTTTATTTGTTTAACAGAAATTCTGATTCTACAGTGCTTGTTTTCAGATACTCTTGCTAAACTCAGTTGAAATTTCTGCATTAGCTCTGATGATCTGTGCTATTTGTAGTTACCAATATAATCCTGATTCATTCCAGAGGAGTGTGAGGTGATTTTAAGATAATTAGAGTTATGAGGAAAGAATGTATCTGATTGTTCTTAAGTATCATCCTTTTGCTTATTTGGAGTAAAAGACCGTTATAGTCCTAGAGTTGAAAAATCATTGCAGTTTATATAACTAGGATATAAGAACCACACAAGTGCCTCTTACAAAGGTCAAATCACCATCTAAACTGCTTATTTTATCTTTCTTTATGTAATTGTCAATATTGTGTATTTGAACGTTCCAACATAGCATAAACAAAAGCATTTAAAAATAAATGTTATATCTTTCTTACTTGGTGATTTTAACATGCTTGTTTTAATTTTATTTTCTGCTTTCTTTCAGTATTTTCCTATGCAGAAGAATAAATGGTAATTAAAATGTGCAGGATGAAAAGATGGAGCAATCAGTGCTTGTACCACCAGGACCAGACAGCTTCCAATACTTCACTAGAGAGTCTCTTGCAGCTATTGAACAACGCATTGCTGCAGAAAAAGCTAAGAATTCTAAACAAGATCGTAAAGATAATGATGATGAAAATGGGCCAAAGCCAAACAGTGATTTGGAGGCAGGAAAAACACTTCCATTTATATACGGCGACATACCTCCAGGAATGGTGTCTGAGCCCTTGGAAGACATGGACCCATATTACATCAATAAAAAAGTGAGTCTAATATCAGTCCTGTTCATACACCAATGTTTGGAGTGCTTTATCATGTTCATTTCATTTTCGTGGAGTGGGTCATATAGCTTGTTACTTCAGTCTGTTAATTTGCAACCATGTAGAATATGTCACTCTAATAACGTGGAAACAGTTGAGCACTGCTAAAAACACTAGGTGTACAACAAGAGCAGAAAATGTTTGATGCCAGCGATACATACAAATTCCACCTTCCAGAAAGTTAGTAAATAAACAATTAATATCTTCTGGGTATAAAAAGTTGATTTAGCTAATGTATGTTTTTAGAACGCATTTGCCCTCGTGTGCCCTTGGCACACTAGTTCTCCTGCTTTATATAAGGAGGAATTTTTCAGTAATATTATTATTAGAATTAAATTAATAAAATTGGCAATAAATGCAACATCATGACTGATTGTATAATATGGTTGTTAAATGGATGTAGCAAGGTATAAATAAATAGTGTGAAAATCTAGACTTCTATTCACTGCTCTCTCAATCATTAGCAAAGTGCCCACTGTCTTCTATGGTACAGGACAGAAACCATAATCCTTAATGGTTACTAATCTTTCATCATTTTCTTTTAGTTTACATCAAAACTTATTCCTTTGATATAATTGAATTTATATTAAGGGAACATTTATATCAAAGCTGAAACATAGTATGTTGTCTTTGATTATAAGCAATATATAATGCCTATACAAATGTGTATATGTAATAGATTACATACTTTGCAAACTTTAAAAAAGTGAATATATATTGAAACTGAGTACACCAACATGCCATGCTTTCTCTAAGGTCATTCAGATTTAAAACTGACAGCAGGAACCAATGCATAACACATTTTGTTCCCAGAAACCTGCTTTGAGAGCAAATGATTAGGAAAGTTATGGAATCAATAGAGAAACACAAAGATAAGCAGGAAATACCATAAAGAGAGTGTAAAAGTGATTTAAAACTTCCTGGTGGAACTGGCCTTGAACAGCCCTGGAATCCTTTCAGGATGATTCTGTTGCACAGCCCATATGCAGCAGAAAAGGTTCATGGTTTATATTGATAGCTAGCTTGGGTGATACTTTAATTATTAGATACTGTTATTATGAAAACTTTATAAATATGAAGACAGGAGTTATTCTGATTTTCACAAAGTGCTGTGTTCTAAGTGTCTTAGCTTGCTAAATTTCATGTGATTTATGAGTCCTATTTTGACAAGAGAGAAAATACTACGTGGAAGAACAATATTTTTATCTTTATTATTTGATGCCTCTGAAAGAGCCTTTATCTGCCATTCACAGTGTATGAAGATTTATCTTTAAATCACAGTTCTACTTTTACAAAGATAAAAGATGTGTTTCTATAAAAGCAGGCCTTCTAGAGTTCTGTACTAATTGTGTCTGGTTATGATACACAATCCCGTATAATTATATCCCTACCTGCCCACAGCTCATCCTGGACCTTTATAGTCAAATCAGTCTGTCTTGTGTGTCTTACAGTGAAACCAGATACATAATAGGTATGACCTACACATATGCTTCTACGGCCCTTAGAAGTGGAAGACCCTTTCAGTCCCTTCACAGCTGGAACTGAAACCTTACTACTTCAGCCAGGTCTGATGACAGAGTCACAAGAAATTGAGTGAAACCAGCTGAACATATTCAGCCAAGTTTCTATACTATTTGAAATGAACAATCTTTTTATTTGCACACTAAACTTGCATGGGCAAGTCACATACCCACTGGGATTTTCTTCTTTGGGCTGAAGTCCACACGTCCTCTCTATGCATGTGCTTTAATCTTCTACAGGACAGAAATAGAAACAGCCCTGTCAGTCAAAGACAAGACAAAAATTTCTCACATACTAAAATTCTCTCAATTTTTTCTTCCTTCAGTAGGAGGAAAATAGACTTTCCTGACAGGAATCCAACATCTATTTCAGTTTTACATCAGTAATTTGACTTTAAAATATCTAATTCCTAGAATTTCTTATCTAGCTGTATGTGAATTCTGGAAATACTTTTTTCTCGTTTCATTTGTCTTTTGAGAGTATTGGTAGCAGCTGATGCTCCTCAGAGGGGGAAATGGTTGCAATGGTCTTTTTTTTTTTTTATCCAAAACTGAGTAAAAATGAACTTGGACTTTATCCATTTTTTGCGTTCCACTTCTGTGTAAGCACAAGTCAGTGTGCTGCCAGTATAATAGTGACTGCCTGTTCGTGCTCAAGCTGCCAGCACAAAGGATCAAGGAGGTTCACATCACTGTCTATAGAGAAAGGACCAGCTGGAACCCCCTAAGATCCTGACCTGCAGGCATGCATCAAAATCTGGTCCACTTGGTTTCATCTTGAAGGGCTGGCTATTTTCTCTTGAACCTAGGCTGCTACATAAAAGAGGAGGGAAAGAATAGGTGGAACTAAGTGGGTCTTACTTCACTTTCCTCCTGCTATAATATAGATCTAGCATTGTTGATTGCCACTCTATATGCCCTGCCTCTTGCCAGAAGGATGTTGAACAATGTCTGTCGGAAAAGGTGCCTCCTTTTTTCCTGGTGCTTGGTAATATCAGTCCCTAATCTGATCAAACCACTAGCTCCTGGGATTCCCAAACTTGCCTTGGGTTCCAGAAACAAAAAGATTCTGTAAAATTGCTTTACTTAACTTCATTACATTGGAAAAGGTGAATGCACTAGTGATTTTAGCTATTTTTATAGTTGTAAGTGAAAGAATTTTTAAGGGAAAAGTTCTAGCAAAGCAAAAACTTATCTTTCTTGCTAGAAAACATGGTTTCAAAAGGTAACCACAAAACCAAGAAATGCCAACTTCCAATATTCCGTGAGTCTCTTGTTCTAGCTGCCCCTGGAGCTTTTCCCAAGAAGCTAAGGACCCAGCTCACCAATATGTCACCTCTTGCCTTTCAGAAGGTCCTATGAGGTTTTACGTGGTGTTTATTTAACTGTAGGAAGTGGAAACGCAATGAAGTAGCAATCAGCCCGCTAAATGTAGCCTTCCAGAAACTACATTTAAAGCTGACTGGGAGGAAGGAGAGGGGAAATAAGGTTTGAGGAACTTTTTGTCCTGAAGGGTTCTCGAAGACCATATCTTTGTTCAGTGTGGACTCTTCTTCCCTCTTAGCTGCATCTTTTCAAAATACTCCTCCTCCTTCTTTGCCCTGCTAAGAATGCCATTTCTGGGTTTATATCAAATATGGCAGAAGTTACAGAACTGGGATCCAGGTTACAGATGCAAAAGCAGGAAATCAGGGACTTCTTTTTAGGGATTTCTTTGAATTTATATTCATACTTGAATGCTTCGAGTGTGAGCAGGTTTCCTGACTTTATAAAACGATTAAAGCACTTTATAAAACCTAAGCCCCGAAAAGTATACATAATCCTTCATATACGAACATTAATCTTACAATTTGTTTAGAATTTATTTAGACTTTCTCAGTGTATGTCTACGTTGTCCTGACAGCTTTGGGTACAATACTTCGTGTTCATCCACACTGCCTACACATTGGCTTGCATCTGGGTTGAGACTGGAGTGAGATAGAGCAGGCTTATCAGGGAGAGAAGCTTATACAGGGATTGGCTATCAGCTGTTATCTGTATTTTTATGAAAATTCTTCTTCAGAGATAAGATAAAATTTTAGTTCACATTTAAGGCTAGAAGTCAGAGGACCAACAAAGTCATTCTGAAGGCTCCAGTCACAAAGATGCTTTGAGTGAAAAATTAAAACTGAGGTAGGGAATTCATGTCTTGTTGGTTGTGCTTATGCAGGGCAGCAGAAAGTAGAACAGCTAAAATAGCAGCAGCTTCCAACTGAAACTGGAGCTGTGCCAGCATGCTGTTATTTTCCATAAGGCACGTTAGAAAAGAGATGTATGTTTAATATGCTTGTGTTCAAAGTTTTTTTTTTAAATGTAGGTTGACTAAACGTAGGTGGTGTAGTCTTAGATACAAAGTTAGTAAGGAGTGTGATTTTTAATGTATTTTGTCAGTTACCTCATAGCTACAAAAACTGTGAGCGTGAGCTGGAGGCTTCTGAGCTGTGAGTCCTGGGGGCTGGGGACAGACCTGGGAGGGGAAACTCACCTTACCCCTTGGGGTGTCAGGCTTTAAAACATTGTGCTAAAAAATCATTAATCTGCTTGGTTGCTTCAGTTTTTAAAATGAAAACTTCATTTAAGATCAGGTCATCTGCAGTTACACTTTGAAGGTTATTATTATCTGTAATCCATAACTGGAAGTGTAATTTGGAAACATTAACTCAGGCTTTATCCCACTGTCCTCAGCTTCATCCACAGTTTCTCCATTTCTGTGCAGAAGGAGCGAAATCAAATACATAACTTAAACCATTTCTACACATCTTGGGTTTGTACTCAAGACAATATAAAGTCCCTTACATGCATGTTCCTTTCTCTTAAAGGGTTTGGTCTGTATAGGGAGGTGTGCTGTGTAGAGCTATGAGAGACGACAGCTCAGGAAAGAAGCCAGCAAGTGAGTTGGGACTGGGACAGCTTTTCCTCAGGGCTTAATCCCTGCTTCTCCTCTGCCTTCGGTACTTGGTATCTGTCACAGATTGGTGGAAACCCTCATCTCCACATCTCTCTCCACCTCCTGGGTGCTCCTAGATATTTGTATCTGGACTTCATGGTCCACACATACTAAGCTTCCCAAATCTAAGCAGACTGAAGAATTGTCCTTCTTGAACCTCCTTGGCATATTTTCTCTGTCTGCCAGCCTTCCCAGAAAAAGCCTTGTAGTCCACTTGCTTACAGTCTTGAAGCAATGCTCGATGTCACAGGCACCAGAAAAGACCAACATACCTTTTCCCACACTTCCACTGGCATTCTAGTTTACAGCTCACTTTGTCAGCAACATTACAAAAAACAAAGAGGCTTTACCATAGCTTATTTACAAAATATACAACTCTGACAAAACAGCAACAGCAATTTTGGACATTTCTCTTGGGCGGATTCTTCAATACCTTTAATTCAGTTTGAATTTAGGCTATAATCCTTGCACCATCCCTTCCACTACATGCAGCTTTTTTATGAGTTCCTGAGCCTTCCTTCTGCAGTGTTTTTCATTCTTGTCTGATTGATCTTGCAGTCGAAGAGCACCCTAGTGCCACAAAGAAGCCTGACAGTCCACGTTTCCCGTGCTGTAGCGTCAATGCTGTTGCAGCTGTGATGGCCTACAGTGGAAGCAAAGCAATGTTTGTAGGGTTTGCTCTCGTACCATTTATATTTGGCTCACAGATTTATTTGAGAAAAATAGACAAGCTTTCAGCCTACAGTCTTCTACAATTCTCTGAAGTAAGGCTTGCATGCCTTTAAGTTTCTTTAAATTTGATAGGCTCTTTAGCTGTTAAAATTGAAATTTAACAAGTATGTATGTTCTGGGAAGTTACACACCTGCAAACCACAATTCTGCAGGGAGGTCATCTGGGCTGTATCTCTTGCTCTCCTCCAGTAAGGCTTATTCAGATGCCCACTGTCCTCAGAGATCTACCTAATCATGGCTATATGTGTTACTGCTATTTCCCTCTCTCCTTAGCACAAAGACCAAGAAACAGAGTAGAATAAAAAATATCATCAAATGGGTAGTCTGTTAAATCAGTTTCTATAAGGATTTATCTTACTAACACATCATTAACATCCACAGGTAAGGTCTCCCTGCTTATGGTATTTCAAACAGGAAGAGAGAGTTTTCTATGGGAAAACATAAATAAAATTACAATTTTACTTAATCATTTCTGCACCTTTTTTTACATGTAAATGTAACATTACTGAGGTTATTTAATGAAGAAGTAATGTAAAAACATTAATGAATTTAATTTAAAATCATATTTTCATAATTCAGGTACATCAGGTAAGTACTGGAAATAAGTTTTATTTAAAAAATGGGTAGTGTTTTTTGTGTATTAGCTATTCAAAAAGTTAAAATTTTGCTGATTGGTCACTAGGAACTGTTTTAAAATGAGCATCTACAGTGAAAACACACTTATAAAATGTCTTTTCTTTCTCTTTTTCAGACCTTTATAGTATTGAATAAAGGGAAGGCAATCTTCCGATTCAGTGCCACCTCTGCCCTGTACATTTTAACTCCCTTCAATCCTCTTAGAAAAATAGCTATTAAAATTTTGGTACATTCATATCCTTTTTCAATGGTTGTTCAAAATGTTACACACCAAAACTAAGAAAACTCATAACTCTTTCTATTTCATTGTAAATAAAGGTTTTCATAGGCTGTTAATTTTATTTTTATTTCACAGTGAAAGACTTATGGTAAGGTTTTATAAATACTAGAAAATATGTATATTTCATATAGATTTATTTTAGCTATTCTGTTGAATTTCAATACTTCTGCTGTACAAATCTGCAGATGGATTTAAGAATCCATCTTCATCAATTTTTCAGAAAAGTTTCTTCAGATTTATTTTAACAATGACATTTTTTGCATCCCAGATTCTTTTTTGCACTATGAAGCCTATTCATAAAATAATTACATCTTTAAAAAAAAAAAAACCAAACTAAAAACAGAAACAAAACCAAACCCAAACCAGTTTGTGCTCACAAATTCCAGAAGACCTCTGAGTTTTGCAAGCAATTAGGTAAATATGCAGTTCCTGCTTAGGAACTGCTAGCTCAGGGGTATGTTTATATTGCCTTTTAGGGGTCCTTCTGGGGCCATCCTCAAGACCAGCTTTATAGTCTGTTGCAGCAGTGTGCCTGGAAGCCTGGTTCATGCATGCTGAATCTCACACTCCCAAACCTGCCCAGTTGCACCATAAGCCTCTGCCAAATTTAATACATTGCCGGAAAGCATAGGCAGCAGTCCTGCAAGCAGTTTGGAAAACATCTGTATGTGCAGATGGTGGACAGATTGGGGGACCATAATTGATGGGATGGTGCACAAGGTAAAGTTTTAGACTGGTATGTGGGATTGGTGCCTGATGCTCATAACAGATTGATGGGAATTTCTAGCGGGTGAGGTTTTGGTGTGCTTTTCTTGCAAAACCGAAGGACAGGGAAAAGTAGTCACCAAATGAAAACTTCAGTGTGACAGTAACAGATAGTCAAAGGCAGAAGTCTTATTATTAGAGACTGCTGGCAGAATCTTCTAGGTCTTTGGAAAAAGGAAGAAACCAGGCTGATTGCTGCTGACTCAGAAGATGTTTTCCTCTGAGCTCCCTGGAAGTTAAAGCAGTGAGAGAAGGGGGGGCAGGTGTCTGGAGAGGAGTCAGGGAGCAACTGGGGACAGTAGCTAGGGGACCTGACAGAGACCTGCAGGCACGGTGGTGGTGATGGTGAGAAGATGCAGCCAAATACTGTCAGACTGAAGCCTCTAAAGAATGCTTATCCATTCAAGTTATAAACTCTGATTTACAATCCCTTCCAACCCTGCATCTGTGCTAGTTGTGGGTAATGTTTTTACTGGCATGCTGATTACTGCATTTGGTTTTGGTTTTAAGTTCCTCCTAATTGTGTTCAAAGAGTATCCAGCTGGTCTTGATGGCAGTTAGAACAAAAGCAATTCTAATCACCAATATGCAATTCCAATATTTTTCCTTTTATTAACTGATTGTGTGATCATGTAATTTAGGTCTATTATAGCAAGAAGTTTCCTTTCACTATATGGACTGATTTCTTTTCCAACCAGCCAACTATGGGATGAGCTATTTTTATCTTAGATACAGATGTAGGGTTTGGGGGGGGGACACTTATCTTTTTATCTGTGGTCTGTGAGGACAAGCATTGTAAGGCATTCTAATCATTTATTCTAAGCCACTGAACAACTATTTTTACTGTACAGAGCTTGTGTGACAACTTGATCTTCAAAATAAGTTAAGGCACTTAATGAAAGATATCACAATATTCACTGCTGGTCAGGCATTTAGACAAAGGTCACCCACCTATCTATAGGAATCAGGCGGCTAAATCTTTCCCTGTGATTTGAATCTTTACTTGAAAAGATATGCCTCAGTTTGAATTGTTCAGCAGCGATGATCTTAATGTTTTCACCAATTTTCTGCAAAGTTTAGGCCAAGATGTTACTTCTCTTATTCCTCCCTCACCTAGAGTGAAGGGTTGTTTTTTGGGGGCGTGTTTTGTCCATGGTATAAAAATATACCCCAAACAACAAAATGCTATCTACGTGATTAAAAAAAAAGAAAAAAAAAAAAGAAATAAATTAAAAATCCTGGGCTCTTATATACAAGTTTATCTATAAATGGCTTTCTTCAGTTTAAGCTACCTTCTTTGCCAGTTATGTGGGTGCAACTATTTTTAAGGAACACATCATTTAGAGAGATTAGAGGGAAAAATAGTTAACCATTCGGCATAAAGGTGTAGCAGTTCTTACTTTTTTGCTGCCATCATGTGGCCATTTTGAGTCAGGTTTTGGTCTAGTTTGGTTACTTCAGTATTTCCAAATATTTGAATAATCGAGTTTACTTTATTGCTACGAAAAGGGAAAGACCCCACTGTTCACAGAGCCAGTGATCTTGTAAACCAAGAACATCGCACTGGGTGTGATGAAGCCCCAGTGGACTGTCCCACCTCCCTACCACAAGCCCCTGTGAGCTGTTGGTCTGGGTTCCATAGTCCCAGAATACCTAACTGTTCCTTGCTGGAACTCTAAACAAAAAATCATTTTCATTCTAATCTTCACCAGTTTTCCATGCTTTTCAAGCAATTGACCACAAGATACTATTGAACCATTTTCAAATTATAGCATTGGTAGAACGGGATGCATCTTTTGCTGCTAACGTGTTTTTGAGACAGCCCAAATAGAGTATGGGAAAATGATTCACCTTAATCTGTGATCTCTCTATGGATTCTATTTCACTGACTGAAGCATGTGCTGCTAAGCTAGTGACAAGGAAATACAGAATACAGTCACTTCAGCAATTAAAAACAGTATTCAGTCTTCTGTGGTTTTGACAGACTGGCTGTGCTGGGGTGGTATGTGCTTTCTCTACAGCTCTGACTCATGGTAAATAGGATAAAGTTTTTTTACCTTGCATATGCCAGCTGTTGAGTTTAGTACCAAAACTGTAGAAGTGAAAGACTAACACTTATTCAGTCATGTCAGGTACTTAAGTAAAACCATATTCTTCTGCAAGTTATTTCTGTTTTGGCTGTTACTCATCTCACGTTCCCGCCCAGGCGTGTGAGAGCCATCTCCTTCGCCTTTCAGTACCAGCTGAAAGCAAAACATGAGGACATCAACAAATCAACATCAGACCATCAACAAATTAAGATTTACATTAAAGTTCAATGTGCTAAAGTGAAAACTACCAGGTTAAGCAAAATATACGTGCAATGTTTACTAAAGTCTAAAAGATTTGTGTAAGTGGCAATATTTTACTGTACTTAAGATATATGGCTGATGTGATATGGTATGAATTACTGTTGTGTTTTCCTTAACTACATCTACATTATTCAGCATGCTTATCATGTGCACTATTTTGACCAACTGTGTATTTATGACCATGAGTAACCCTCCGGACTGGACAAAGAATGTAGAGTAAGTTGCTTATGTTATTTAAAGATATCTTTGTTCCTCTAGGAGTCAGCATGCCAGTAACTGCAGTCGTGTGTGCTGGCAGGACCTAACATGAGATGCTACTACTATTTCCTCTCTAAACTATGTAGAAATGTTGAATAATTATTTCTATCTCCTTCTAGTAGCATGATTAAGTAGAGAAAATGAAATTTTTTTACAGATAGCATTCTACTGAGATTCCATTAGTTTTCCCTCATCTTCACGGTTTAGCATCTACCCAATGTTTTTACCCCTTGTTTATGCTACTGCATTAATAGCAGAACCATGGCCATCTATTTGTACATGTCAGTTAAAGACAGCATATATGCAAAAGTATTCCTAAAGTGAGAATTCAGTGCATGCTTGCCTTCTTCCCTTTTTAGAGTTAATGCTAGATGTTTTAGATGTTAGTGATTCAGACAGTATCCAGTAACTTATGGTCACAACTTTCTTGGTTAACAGTAATGGATGTAGTGTTGCATACTTTTAAACTGAGTGTCACCAGTAAATTTTTAATATATGTTATTTATTTGATGGATTTATTTGTTTTGATTTATGTACAAGATCAGGACTGCTGTACTTCAACAGCACGTCACAACAAATGCATGTAAATACACAAGTATATATGATGAATATAATGCATTTTAGAAGAAATTACTTATTTACTGTATTTCTTTCCTAGTTTTGAAGTGAAAAACTCTTTCATTTGATCATCAGGTTTCTATCAGAATACCAATGGAAAATGTTGCTACTTATTTTGATTAAATTTTCCTATATTTTCCAGGTATACGTTCACTGGAATTTACACATTTGAGTCACTCATAAAAATCATTGCAAGGGGCTTTTGCTTAGAAGATTTTACTTTTCTTCGAGATCCATGGAACTGGCTTGATTTCACTGTCATTACCTTTGCGTAAGTTTTTGTTTTTTGCTTTTTCTTTGAAAGTGAAGGGCAAAAAGGGCATGAAATTAGTATCGATACATATCAACTTCATTAAATGGAAATTCTTGTATGGATTTACTTTTGTCTAAAACACATTCTAAGATGCGTATTTTGATGTAAACATAAATACTGCAGAAGCCATTAGTACAGCTAGTATTAGAGAGGCTAATTTCATGTCCTGCATTTTTTTCTCTGAGCAGAAAAGGAGCATCCCTTTGACTTCATTCTCCAAACTTACCAATCTAGTCTAGATAAATTTTAGGCTTTCAAAGTTAAATCACTGTGATTCACTTCAGAGACATTTAATTTAACTGAAGGCTCTGAAAGCATATTAATACAAGGCAAACTGCAGTGAAAGGTAAACCTCTGACTGTTGCTATTTAATTTTTTGCTAAAAACGCCAAAGCGGTCTTGATGAAAGACCCAAGTAAGTAGCATAAACTTTGCCTAAATTCTGAATAACTGTGATTTAATCCTACAGGTATGTAACAGAATTTGTAAACCTAGGCAATGTTTCAGCTCTTCGAACTTTCAGAGTATTGAGAGCTTTGAAAACTATTTCTGTAATCCCAGGTAAGAAGTAACTGGTGTAAGGTGTTAGGCCCCTTGTACCTCCCAACTGTTCCTTTTTATCCTGTCATTGTGTTTGTGTGTGAACTCCCCTATTACAGATATGTGACAGAGTTTGTGGACCTGGGCAATGTCTCAGCGTTGAGAACATTCAGAGTTCTCCGAGCTTTGAAAACAATATCAGTCATTCCAGGTGAGAGCTAGGTTAAACACTGAGGCTGACTTTAATTCACTGAGATGGAATTCATATTTTTTAAACATAAGTCTTATTTCTTTCACAAAAAAAGCAGGAATCGGAAGATACTAGAATTCACTGAGATCTCTGATTCATTGCTTTTTAACATAAGCTCTTTCCTCTTGAAATCAGCCTTTGAGTTTAACAGATTCTTGCATGGGACATTGCAGTACACAGTGTGTGTGGTTTGCATCGTATGATGTCAAGCTTTCTTCTCCACATTCAACGAATATCAGTAACCCTGAAGTTTTCTTACCCATGTGTATCTTACCTACATGATGTTATGTGGTATTTGTTGTGAATATTTGTGTCTAAAAAATAGAACTGTTCAAAATGTTGACTTAGTAAGAAGAAGGAATAAGATAATAAAGAACAGCATGGGCATCGCATGGGGGTTTTATTATCTTAAAATGCTACGATTTTCCAAACCATCTCCAGTTTTATAGCATTAAATTTTAATCCTATTTATTGTTGAACAGGCTTTTTACCACTGTCTTCTAAATCTAGTATGTTATAAAACTGATAGTAGCAAAGGTTTGGGGCAAGAGGTATTGACGAATAAAAAGAAAGAAGACTTTTATGTGAGATTCATGTACAGCATGAATAAAAAAGTCACTTGTTTTAGCATTAAAACAAGTGTTTTGAAATATATGCAACTCATTCCATTCACAGTTTCAAATGAACATAAATTTCAACTATTTATTCATTTTCACAAGTGAAAAAGCTCTTCACAAAAATGTTATTTCACAGACATTACAATCATTTATTTGGGCTTCTGCATGAAATCTATAACTTTACTGGGAGACACTGTCATTTTTATGCTTTAAAAAAGTTTTGAACATCAGAATAAGAATTCCTTTGCATTTGCAGGCTTGAAGACTATCGTGGGAGCCCTAATTCAGTCGGTGAAGAAGCTCTCGGATGTTATGATCCTGACTGTGTTTTGTCTGAGTGTATTTGCACTAATAGGGCTGCAGCTGTTCATGGGCAACTTGAGGAATAAATGCCTGCAGTGGCCTCCAGAAAATTTTACTTTGGAAACAAATATTACTGCCCAGCTAAACAGCACCATAGGTGAAAATGGTACATTGGTTAATTCAACAGTGACTCCATTTGACTGGAAGGGGTACATTGAAGATGAAAGTAAGTATTGTCAGCATAATTCTTACCAAAGTGATTTGTGGCTGACCCAATTCTTAGAAATAAGGAGGGGAAGGGATGATACATTTAGTTAAGACAGAGCAGGAGAAGTGTTTTCTCTCTTTCTCATATCTCTGCTCCAAAGGCCGGCATGGAAGAGGGAACAAGGAACATGGTATCTCTACTTGATACAGCTCTTTTTCTCAGCTTTCTCTGCGAAATCCACATCTTCTCTGAGACAGGAAGAGGTCCAAAGAAGTTCTTAAAGTTACTTAATAGTCTTAAACACTTTCCATTCCGACACTCTAAAGCAAGATCAGCAACAGATTGCTATGCGATTTCTGGCTATGTGATTTCTGACAGATATCAGAGACTTCTGACATTCAGTGAGGACTCCAGTGATGGAGCCCTCAGTATTTTCACCATCTATCCATTCTTGTGCTTCACTAATTATTAGAAAGGGGTTTTTTAAGGTCTAACAAATTTTCCTGCTGCAATTTAAGCTCAATGTTCTCATCAACTTCACCACAGGCATCAAAACCAAATTATTCCCTATCATTAATCACTGTCTCTGAGGTATTTAACCACTGTTCTTCTGTTGCCATGCCCTGTTCTGTCCTCTTTCAGTCTTCTTTTTATATGCTAATCAACCCCGATCATCCACCTTTTTCTCCTACAACTTATTTTCTAGATCTTGATCTCTCATCTGGATCCTTTCTTGTTCATAAACATGCTGCTTAAAGTGCAGTACCCTCATCTAGGCATTCCTCCTCCACATGAGGCATACTAAGTAGAGAAGAAGGATTATGCGGTAGTGTAGTAACTTATACTTCTGGTTTATATATCCTAGGCTAGGGCTTGCTGTTGTTTACAATTGTAACTTCATTTAATCCTGTTCAGCTTGTGGTCTACCTGCTCCAGAATCTTTTACAGCCTTTTACCTCATTGAGTTTCCACTTGTATTTGCACAGTTAATTGTTCCGGCCTGAACAGCACCCTATTTTTTCAGACCATCTCTCCAACTGCCCTGGATCTTTTAAATTGTAATCGTTTCCTCAAACTCACCGCCATTCTTATCAGATTAGTATCATTTGCAAATTTGGTAAGCATTCTTCCATCATCTAGTTTAGTTAAAACCTTGAAAAGCTGCAATCTCGGACAAACCTCTTCAGAAGTTGTTTTGATGCATCTTTCCATTTGATAATTTCCCAAAGTATGATTTTCCAACCAGTTTTGCTGATACAGAGCAGTCTGGCAAACTGAGGATAGATAACGAAATGCATTTCAGTACAGTTAAATGTGAGGTTACAAATCTAAGCTCCCTATCCTAAAAATCAGTGCTGCACAATTCATGTCGGGACAGGTTCACACGCATAAAGACTGTAGCTAGTGGCATACATCAGCTCTAACAGTGAAAGACACTTCTGGAGAAAAATAAGAACTAAAGGGGAGAGAGAGAAAGAAGAGGGAAGGGGAAAGGGAAAACTGACTACGGCACCCAGATGCGAAGAGAAGTGGTGGGGTCCCCAGGTGAGTCTCCTCCCCTGGGTACCCTTTCCAGTGCAGCAGCGATCACTCCGTCATACTTTTCCCATAGCAACTGTGTGTTTTTCATTAGCATCTCCTCAAACTCCCTACAGGTTGTTCCTGCTTACAGTGCTATTAGCACTAATTGGAAAGCACTTTGATCAGGGCGGGTGCTGCATGGCTGGTTGGGTTTTAAGCTCATACATGCATGTTATTAGATCACCTAATATAAACCAAAAGCTACAAGCAAGGAGTAGGAAAAAGGGAGAGAAAGAGGGGTGAATCTCACACCAGAGACAATTGCTTCCCATGAGTACCTGCTGCAACAGTAATGTGTTTGCAGGTGTAACGTCATGAGAATAAAAGCAGCATGAAAAACAGCATGAGAACAAAGGAAAAATAGTGCCACAGAGGCTCTGGAAAACACTGCCACAGCAGCTTACGTAAATGGTTGCAGAGCTGCAGCTGAGAAACAGGATATAGAAATGCAATTGGAAAACCCTTAGCAATAGAGAGGCTAAGGCACCTATGGCACTGTGGAACAGCCAAGACTCTGAAATATTAATGCTAGAACTCTGCAGCCAAAAAGCTAAATAGTATCCTGTTCACATAAATAAATTATTGGCCAGGAAGGCAGTATTACCCCTGTATGTAACACTACTGCAGTTGCTACTGGAATACTATATAAAGTTCAATTTAGGTAGAATGTTGAAAAACTGGAGGATGTTCAGAAAAGAGCAGAATGATTAAAGGGTTGGAAAACATGCTTTATACCAAGATAGACCAGGAGCTCAACCTACTTAGCATATCAAAGAGAAGGTTTAAGGGGTGATTTGATCACAGTTGAGAAAAACCTCATGGGGAACAGAAATTTCATCAGAGACATATCTTTGATCTAGCAGGCAAAGATGTAACAGGTTCAATAACTGCAAGTCAGAGCCAGACAAATTTCAAATTGAAGTAAGACAGCTTCTAACTGTGATCACACAGCTGATCAATGACTATGATGGATTTCCATCTGAGTTTCTTAAATCAAGATGCAATCTTTTTTGTGAAACTCACTTTACTTGAATATGTGAATTCACGGAGATCCCATGCAACAGGGTATAACAAAGTGTAGGCAAAGTTTAATGAAGACCTGACTTCAAGGTCAAACTTCATTTCCTGGCTTTTTAACCAAGAATCTGTAAACTCAAGTTCTGATTTCATTTGATTTAAAGAAGACCTGAAGCCCTCTAAAAAACAAAGCTGAATTGAATTAGTTACAGAAGGTACTTCATTGAATGGCTACTTGAATCTTTTGTATATTTACATGGGATTTCATATGTATTATGAAATTTATAATGAAATTATGAGTCTTAATGAAGTTAGTAAGCTTGTCCTTGCTTACCAGCAGTTTCAAACAGAAAAATTATCTTCTCACAGCTTCCTGCTCTCTTTTTGTAGATGGGCAGATAGGATACAGAAATGGTTCTTAAACCAGCTGTCTCACAGGGCAATAAGAAGGGACTTACCTGGAACTCAGACCGGTGCAATGGCACTGCCTTTTGTAGGAATTATACAAGTTTTTATGCCAGTACTTGTGTGTACTATGCAAAAAAGGCATGTAAGCCCTAATTTTGCCACTGAGCTCATTTTTGGAAATACCATTTAGCGAGACTTTATGTAAGCACACCCGGCATGAGTGAGTCAAGCACTCTTTTTTTCCTTTTTCTTTTTCCAAGATAGCAGATCCGGTAAACTTAATGCTAGATAAGTTTAAGTTTATCTTGGCAAGTTTGCCATAAGCAATTTTTTCTGGGAAACAACATCTCACAATCTGTTTTGTGGAATAACAATTATTCTTAGTCATTACCCTAGGTTTACCCAAACAACCGTAAATTCCCTTGAAGTAAAGTGCTCACCTACCAGGGTTTTTTTCCCTTTTCCCAATCAAATAAACAGGAGCCGAACATATACCTTTGATGTGGTGAGGGGCTTTTCACGTTACTTGGGTAAAATACAATTTAGAGTTTTGCATCTAGTTAGGGACGCATGCGTATACTGCTGAGCTTCCGTTGCTATAAAAACTTCCTATCATGATAATATTTTGAGCATTTGTCACAGCTGTATCAGTGCACTCAGAGAAAGCCTGGGCAGCTATTATTTCTTGCAGAGCTGGCAAGTACAGCATGCTTACAGGGCACATCTTGTCCGAACCACAGAATTTGAATACAGACCCTGTTTTAGCTGTTCAGCTCAACTGATGCAGTACTGATCATGACTGACTGCTCCATGTAAACTATATCAAGTCAGGTTTGTGTTCTTCCCAACCAGCTGTTATGTTCCAGCATGTTTTAATCGTGATTAGCTGACATAATGCAGAATAAGGTTTGCTTCATCAGGGTCAGCTGTGGTCAGCATCATGGCAGCTAACTTTACTATTTCCAGCTGTGTTTCAGCGCGGTGCAGTTCTGCAATGCACACCAGCCCGGAATGACAGCGGCCGCACATAGGGTCGTGCACTTTGTACAGTACAGAAGATTATACCCTGTAAGTCGCAAGTGTTTCACTAGACACTGAAACGGAGTCCTTCACAGAGGGTCAGAACAAGGTCTATATACAGCTTAAAACCTAACTTTTCCAAATGGTGACTCTTGCTTGGAGCAATGCAGCTGGCTGGGTGCTGGGTCCCTCCTGCAGCAAATCAAGGTGCTGAGCCAGTAGTTTGTGACACCTCCCCAGACTCAGAATTCATGAGCTTCGGTAGTAACCCTTGTTACTTGCGCAGCACAGCCACCACAGCCACACTCAAGTTTAAACTCAGCTGCTCTGGTAGTGTTTGAAACGAGATCATTTTAAGGGAATCTAACAGGCCAGTCCAATGGAAAAGAAATCCAACGCATGGTTTAAGTCTTCTCAGGAAGCAAAAAAGAAGTACCACCTTAACTCCGAAGCTGCTGTGCTTCAGAAGTATTGGAAGCTGGGGAGGTGCTCAGAGGAGTATCGCCGTGTCCCTGCCTTGTCCTTACACACATCCTGAGGCAACGCTTTTGGTCTCCATCAGAAATGGGATACTGGGCTGCGTGGTCTGACCCTGTATAAGTTGCATCCTTAAGCCTGTGACCAAATGGGAGATCGTTACTACAGGAGGGAGATCCTCCTGTCATAATTTTTCCAAAATTAAGAGCTTGGCAACTGTAGGCATCTGCTTTGAGGGGAAAAAGCAAAGCACTTCTCAAGGATACGGTCAAAGTGAATCGTAATAAGCACAATGTTTTGCGCATCATCTCTTTATTCTTCTAAGGATAGACAGGTCAATGCCTTTGTTGTTTAAACCACCTAAAATGTCCTTTAAATACAGGATTACTGTAAAGATTATGGGATGGTTGGCTACAGGGTGATTTGGTGGAACTTACCCAATTTTTCTTTCCTAAGGTGATCAATAATTTCATCATATACTCCTAAAATCCTACCTACGCAAGTCGGTGACTGTTGCAGTAATTCCGTCCGAGTTAAATTTAGATGTATACCAGGGCCTTCATACCAATCAGCTGGCTAATTGCAGTGTGTACGTACCTGTAACAGTTAGAGCCGTTGGCAGCTGGCTGTTTTTTTGCAGAGCTCACATGTTAAATAACTGTCACAAGTCTTTGTAAGTGACAAACTGGAACCCTTGGCAATACTGATCAGAAAGTTTGAAATAAATTATCGGTATATTTTTTTCAGATACAATTGAATTATTGTAATAAATAACTGTACAATATAATTTCACAAAGTGTGATTTAGTTCAGGGAACAGACTGAAGGGAGTATTGCACATTTCATCCACATCCAGCAGCATTTGGCAGGATTTTTAGTACATTTCGGCATTTTAACAGTAAGTGTTGTGAGTGATAGCACTTACTGCAATTCATATTGTCATTTACTCTAAAGTTATTGTCCTGCTGAAAAAAATAATACTGCTTGTTTAAAATTGCATCTGAAATCACCTTAACACTTTTAGAGCGGGACTATTTATTTCATAGAGCTGTAAGAAAACTTTCATATTCAGTATTTTATAACTTTTTAAAAATTCTTTTCTAAACAGGTCATTTTTATTTTCTGGAAGGGCAAAATGATGCTCTGCTTTGCGGAAATAGTTCTGATGCTGGGTAAGACCAACTTTCATCATATTATTGCACTGTGTACAAATTAGATAATTAGATCCATGTTCTTTAGATGTGCAGTTGGAGGGGGGCTATATTTTGAGTGACTACTTTCTTTCACATAAGAAATGCTAGGATTTACACTGTGATGAGGATTTGTGTTCCTGGTCAGAGCTCAGTGGATTGGTTAGATGAGCTTAGTCTGCATGAATGAATCAGTAATTTGATATTAGAGTAGCTCCTGCCTGGATGAGAAGTAACAGACACAGCAGCTGGAAAATGCATGTTATTTCGCAGTTCCAGCTACACATATGAGTGCTAACAGGCTCAGACAGTGGGGAAAATGCTGACATTGACATTAACGTTACAACATTAAGAATTAAAGAAATTATTTGGAATATTATGTTTTAGAAGCTTAGATTAACCTTTTGACACTAATTCTTATGTGCCTTTCCTGCTCAATTTTTCTAGTGTCCTTTAAAATCATTTTCTATTAAAAATCACAACTGCTATTATTTCTAGTCTGATTATCTAGAGAAAAATCCTCTTTTTAATCCCAATCTTCTCCTGGACATTCCAGGTGGTAATATTAAAATAACTATATAAGGTAACACCCAGTTTGTCTTTGCAGGCAGTGCCCAGAAGGATATACATGCGTGAAAGCTGGTAGAAACCCCAATTATGGCTACACAAGTTTTGACACCTTCAGCTGGGCTTTCTTGTCACTATTTCGCTTGATGACTCAAGACTTCTGGGAAAACCTTTATCAATTGGTGAGAATTTTTTAATGCAAAATAGACTAAATATGTTTGTACCAATAATGCAAGAGGCCTAGAATCAATTTTCTTATAATATCTTAATATTTACTATATGAAAAACAGAGATTTTTGTATACCTATTCTTGCTTATAAATGTATTCTTATTTCCAGACACTGCGGGCTGCTGGGAAAACATACATGATATTTTTTGTTCTGGTGATTTTTCTGGGCTCTTTCTATCTGATCAACTTGATCCTGGCTGTGGTCGCCATGGCCTATGAAGAACAGAATCAAGCAACCATGGAAGAAGCAGAGCAGAAAGAAGCAGAATTTCAACAGATGCTGGAACAACTGAAGAAGCAACAAGAAGCAGCTCAGGTATAATTTATGGTGTAGTAATGCAGAAGTGTATGGAAATAATTTTACCCTGTTGGGCTTTCAACAACAGAACTAGCTTAGAGATACTCTATTCTGCACTAAAGATATTGTACTGTGAATGAGCCAGCCATAATCAAGAAAGAATATTCAAAACTAGGTATACATGATTCATTATGTTTTTCTTAGTCTAGTGTCAAAAATACAGTCTGTTAGGCTTCTGCATTTAAAAACTACTCATGAAAGATGGAAGAAGGCTATGACCAACATATATCTTGAGTCCATTGAGTGATAAATATTAGAAAAAATTAGGGAAAGGATATCCTATGAAAAGTGTTAAGATCCAGTTCGGACTAGAAAATCTGTATAAGTAAATTTAGAAAAAACATGATGCCATGGTTTGCTCAGTGACACAAATTCATTCTGTAACATGGCAGGCAGCAGCGGTGGCAGCAGCAGCAGTAACAGCATCCGCAGAGTCCAGGGAGCCCAGCGCTGGGGGAGAAGCAGGAGGGCTCTCAGAAAGTTCCTCAGAGGCATCAAAATTGAGCTCAAAGAGTGCAAAAGAGAGGAGAAACAGAAGGAAAAAACGAAAACAGAAAGAACAGTCTGGAGGAGAGGAAAAAGATGAAGATGAATTTCACAAGTCTGAATCAGAAGACAGCATCAGAAGGAAAGGTTTCCGATTATCTATTGAAGGCAATAGGCTGACATATGAAAAGAAGTATTCTTCTCCACATCAGGTATTGCATATAGTTATTTTTAGTAGAAGCATACATTTAAAGCATCATTGGCTGTTACAACCTATGTACTGTAATATGACCCTACTGCCTAAAGAAAGGAAACACTGAGATTTTCATTACACTTTATTATTGTTGCTAGTGCTTGAGAGAAAGTGCTGTAGCTGCTAGATTGTCTTGTAAAATAACACGGAGAATTAAATGTAACCTCATATCTCTAGTCTTGTAATAGGGTTGTTTAAAAATCATATTAAAATATTCTCTGATGGATTTTGGGGGGAGGGTAGAGTGATTATATATTACCTAGACTTATTAAAGTGCTACGGTATTTTTCCATTATGATAGCCTCATATTTTCCTCCTGCTTCAATGATGTTTGGAGGCTGGTTCAATATGTGCAGGATGCTGCATACATGAAAGAATGTGCATGTATAGACTCCCTTTTTTTTCTTGATGGGTATTGTGCAACTATTCTACTCAGCAGCTCTAGCTGACATTGGGAGAAAGGAGTGCTCAAAATTGGTTTTGTTTAAGAATCCATGAACAGTGGTATTTCTATCTGCAAAATACACATATAATGAAATACACGCAAAAATTTCACAGCAGCATTTAGCTTCTGGGAAAAATGGTTACTCTCATTTAAGAAAAAAACTGCCTACGCTATCCTAATAACAACGCTAACTTTGAAGGTTTCAGCTAATAATCACAAATTTTGTTTGCCTGCAGTCTTTGCTGAGCATTCGCGGCTCCCTGTTTTCCCCAAGGCGCAACAGCAGAACAAGCCTTTTCAGCTTCAGAGGTCGAGCAAAGGATATAGGATCAGAAAATGACTTTGCCGATGATGAGCACAGCACTTTTGAAGACAACGACAGCAGAAGAGATTCTCTCTTTGTGCCGCGCAGACATGGTGAACGGCGCAACAGTAACATTAGTCAGGCCAGTAGGTCATCCAGGATGCTGGCCGTGTTTCCAGTGAATGGGAAGATGCACAGCACTGTGGATTGCAATGGGGTGGTTTCCCTGGTCGGTGGACCATCAGTTCCTACATCGCCTGTTGGACAGCTTCTGCCAGAGGTGATAATAGATAAACCACCTACTGATGACAATGTAAGAAAGTTTTAAATAGCTTAGGCATGGTGGCCTTTTCTTACTGCACCAGCCAGTGTTTTCTACAGAATGGAACCCTTGGCAATGCTTCCTGGTTGGTCAAGCTGTGAATGCTCCTGCATCTTGTAAAATCTTTAAAAAATAAAACAGCTAAGATGATAGGTTTGCAACCTAAGCATTTACTTACAAATACTCTCATAACTAACAAATGCAATTCGCAGTTTCCAAGTAATAAAATATTAACTTACTTACACATTCATAAAAGCACTATGCTTTTCTATATTACTGTGCTATACTTTATGTTTGCTGATCTAAAGGTCTATCTGGCTATGGTCTGCAAAATCATAGTTACTATGCAATTGAAAATAGTATAAAAAATGTTATAATATAACTGCAGTCAATATGATGCTGCTATTATCACTTTATCAAAATTAGCATTATTCGTTAATTTTGATAACATTCTTCCTTATCAGCCCTGTTGAAAATGTAAGGAAGTTGTCAATTCTTTATTCTCTTTCACTTCTCATTCCTATATATTCTTCCATCCGTTGCTGGTGCAGTTCTGTAGTGTAGATAACAAACGGTTCATTGGAAGATCACATTTCAATACATACTTCCAAAAATACAAATGTCTGTATGAACATACGTGCAGCACATATTGCTGCCATTCTCTTACCCTATACAAGGTAAGAGAAGACATCTCAAAAAAATTTCTTGCTTAGTTCAAAGTTGTCTACTCACATTACTAAAAAAATATTAGCATGAGGAAGCATGAGGAAGTCAGACTTTTCTTACTTTAGCTAGAGTTTGCCTAGGGGAAAGGACTATTATGTTACAAAACCCAGAATATTCTGTCAGCAGGAGCAAGGAAAAAAATTACTGTTTGCAAAAATTTAATACAATATTTTGAACTCAATCCTTTTCCATTTATTTAAATCATTTTTCATAGCTTGAAGGAAAGAACTGTGAAAGTTAGGTAAATGAACTCTCTCAGTCTTGAACAGTAGGTAACTATTGCCTCATTCCTTTTAAAAATTATTTGAAAGATACTAAAAAGTAAGAAAAGTCTGACATGGTAATAATTGAAGTGCACGAAGCACGTATCCAAGCGAAGACATTAATAACAGGGTTCTATATAGTATTTGCTTATCTCATTTCTCCAAAATGGTCTCACCTTTTATTGTTCTCTGTATAGGGCACCACTACAGAAACAGAAATGAGAAAGAGAATATCAAGCTCTTTTCACGTTTCTATGGACTTCCTGGAAGATCCAGCTTTAAGGGAAAGAGCGATGAGTATTGCTAGTATCCTCACAAACACTGTGGAAGGTATGTGCTATGCATAGCTTAATATTTAATACCTGTTTTTTCCAATGGACTTTGGAAAAATTGAGTTGAAATTTAAAAACTGATCTAAACTAGCCTAACTGACAGATGCAATCCCACAGACAGACACATATTTATCAGGAAACCTAAAGTTCTTTATTCATTAAGGTTATTACATAAGTAAGCATTAAAGTTATTACATATGTAAGCATTTCTTTCTCATTGTTTTGCCACCACCTACCTCCTGTAGTCATCAGAACTACAGAATTATGTTTGATGGTCATAACTGAGTGGATGCTTATGCACAGTAATTAAAAATATATTATTGCACACAAGAAGGCCACTGAACATTTTTCAAATATTGTTTAAAATATGTACGTACTTTTAGCACTTATATTTATTCAGTTACTCTTTAAAGAAGTGCTATTCAAGGTGATAAAAATGTTTTTTTCTTGAACTAGGAATGAAAATTGTATTGAAAATTTTTACCTAAACACCACAAATTTCAAAATAAAAATATTTACATAATTGAACAGTAAGTGGGAGGAACAGGTTGAAGTGTAATCAAGGAACAATTAAATACATAAAACAAATTGATGCCTAAATTGATACTGATCGGCATAGTGATTGGAATACAAAGAAGTTGTGCTTGATAGATAAGCTTTGAAGAAAATAAATACATTTGATAGCACTTTTCAAAGACTTTCTTGAAAAGCCCTGTAAAAAAGGGCTTATAGGAGGTTAATCGGTACCAGTACAGGTTGACAACTTGACTGGTACAATTCATATAGGATTGAGGAATGTTAGAGGAATTACATAGTTACCTGTATGAACTTTCTTTTCCTACAGAACTTGAAGAATCAAGACAGAAATGCCCACCATGTTGGTATAAATTTGCAAATATTTTCTTGATCTGGGACTGCAGTCCGCATTGGTTAAAAATAAAACATATCGTCAACTTAGTCGTAATGGACCCATTTGTTGACCTGGCTATTACAATTTGCATTGTTTTAAATACACTCTTCATGGCTATGGAACATTATCCGATGACCGATGAATTCAATAACGTACTTTCAGTTGGAAATCTGGTAAGTAGGTTGTGGTTTTCTGTTCATGATTTGGAAGGAATTATGTCTGAAATAACTGAAGGAAAGAGTTTCATTAGCTTTTTTTCTTTTTACTCTTTAGAAAGTAGATTTATTGGACATTTATTGGCCTCCAGATATGACTATGAGAACATTTTTGGAAATTTCACTATCATCCCTGGCTCATGTAACTTAGGATACTGTAAAATCAATACATTGCAGTGTTCTGCAAAGCCAAATTAAAAATTTTAAAAAATGACACCAATGCTGCATTAAGTAAAGTCCATCTTAAACAGAAGTTGATTTGCCTAACTACTAAACCAGGGAATGCATTACTTCCATGAAAAAGATACTATGCAAATAAACGTAGTGTTACTTTTTCGATCAATACAATACAAATCTTTAAATTATGAATGTCTTTTTAATTGCTGTTTCCTCAGGATAGGTTTACAATAGCTAAAAAAAAACCCCAAAAAACAAAACCAACCCCCCCCCAACATTAAAAAGCAATTCTAGAATTTTCTTCTGTAAAAGACTTTTTACGTGGATATGTGGATTGTTTTCTTTATATGATTTATGTAAAACTATGAAAAGTATCCTGCAGTACTTTTTCCTCTTACAGTTTTTTATATTTTTTTATCATCAGATAATTAGTAAGATATCTTTTCCTCATGTTGTCAACTATATTTTCTCCCTTCTACTTCAAAAAGATAAATTATTAAAGAATTCAGGAGTTAATTTGTTGTAGCTCTGATGCTTTTGAACTGACAGGTTTGATCACATAGAAGTATCTGCAGCTGCAGTCCTATTTTGTCTCTTATTTTAAGAATTGATTCCTTATAATGGGAATTTTAATAATCCTTGTTTTGTAATGAGGAAAAAAATGCCTCAGATCATGTAACTAACTACAGCATTTAGAAGGAAGAATTAATAGATAAACACATAGCTGGTTTTCATATACTTAAAATAAGGGAAACTGAATCTGAGTTTCCTAGTAAAATGTAAAATCCTGTATTGTAGCGTTTTATAGCTTTGTTTTTCAACCAAGAAAACGCCATATAAGTCTTGGTGTCCATTTGGCTACAAAGGGAGTGCAAGACAACCTGTCTATAAGCACCATGGTCTTCCAGTCTTAGGCTCCCTGACATAAACCCCTTCTGCAATACAGAGGCTCTCAGGGTTCACCTGCTCCAGGAGTTCCACTTTAAAGCTCCTTGAGAACCTTACTGTCCTGATCGCTAGGAACCTAAGTCAGCATTTCAGCCTGTATTTATTCATTCCTACTGCTTCCTCAGTGGTTCCAATCCTGTAGCTTAAAAAATAGTAACCTTTCCCTCTCCAATGTTTGTATCTGGAATGTATTTAAAGACTGTAATAAAATCTATCATCTTGAGCATTGGTGTTCCTAGGCAGAGCAAGTCAGATTATTCTCTTTAGCTGTCCCATTTTCTGTTCAGCTTGCTTGAAAATGGGTTATCAAAACCAAAAAAAGAAAGCATTTCAGACCAGGGCTCAGGCAGCCTTTAATGGTGGCTTTAGTACATCTCTATCCTACAGGAAATTCTTCTAAGACTTCTCTCAAACCTACTCAGGGTCACTACCTTGGTGGCTCCTAAATATGATTCCTACTCCGTTCAGCATAGCATCCCATGATAAGAAACCATTACCAGCAATATCATGTTTAAAATGCATTCTTAAATGCTCTTTCATTCCTGTCATCAAAGTGATTGAGCCAATCAACTTCACTGAACTTACTGGCAACACCCAGGGAGAAGTTCCTCAGCTTTAGCACATTGTTGTATCTCAGTTGCTTCCCATACAGTATAAATAATTGCATCTCTGTTGAACTGAATGGGATTACAGCAGGTTATACCAGCAAACAAGCTGCCCCTCTGGAGTCTTAGATTTGGCCTCATTCATGCTGCTGCATACTGTAATTAGTATACCAAGAAAGATGTTATACCATGTAATTTCTTGGAAAGCATTCTGGTTTATGTTGTGAAAATCAAATCTGGGATATTGTCTGCACAGTACATGAGAAAGTCCATATCCTCATAGAGTTGAAATTGGATGATAAATGTTATAAAACAGAAATTTATGTAACTTGATTAGTATAAAATTTAATTAATTGAAAAAATTACTTGGTTTGTATGGTACTTGTTAAGGGAAGGTGGGCATAATAAATCACTACAGTACACTGAACTATTTTTAAGTATCAGTTTTGGATAAGATATTGCAGGTACGTAGCTTGGATTAAAAACCTAGAAAACAGCTAAATCTGTAATATTGCATTTCACAATGAAATAACAAACTGCATTTTGAATTCAGGTCTTCACTGGAATCTTCACAGCAGAAATGTTTCTCAAGATAATTGCAATGGATCCTTACTATTATTTCCAGGAAGGGTGGAATATTTTTGATGGTTTTATTGTAACCCTTAGCTTGGTTGAGCTTGGTCTTGCAGATGTGGAAGGACTCTCAGTTCTTCGATCATTCAGATTGGTAAATATACAGTAAATATACATCAATTGCACTGATTTTGCAATAGGACTTCATTAAAATAATGTAATTTTTTGCCTTAAAAGTTTGCTTGATGTTTGCCATGATACTGATCCTGATGTCTCTTTCATTAGTACAAACCCTTATTACTTGTGGTATGTTACTGTCTTCAACGGGAATTGACAGAGATCGAGATAAATAGATAGCAGTGGGTGCCTTGGGCCTATTTCCAATGTATTTATTGTATATACACACTTTAAATATCCTGCTATGCAGAAACAAATCAACTCACCAGATGTATTGTGCTCTGATTGGCATCCTGGGAATAGATCTGCTCTGCAAATACTAGTAGAAAAGTGGCCCAGATGATTTTAACAGATGAATCCTAGATTTTAAATTCCCTCTAATATGACTGGTAGCTTCTTTGGCCTTCAGTAAAAACTATGCTTTTAGGACATCAAGCTCTAACTTCACAAAATTTTGTTGACTGAACCTTCCATTTTCATGCTTTTAGACAAGAGGATACCTTCTGAACAGTCATACTCAGGGCATATTTTGCAGTAATACCCTTCCACAAATTAACTTTAAAATATCTTTATGTCTTTCTTGCTGGTTGTCCTAACAACATTTTTCTTTTCTTCCAGTTACGTGTTTTCAAATTGGCAAAATCTTGGCCAACACTAAATATGCTGATAAAAATTATTGGCAACTCTGTGGGAGCTCTGGGAAATCTGACCCTGGTGCTGGCCATCATTGTGTTCATTTTCGCTGTGGTTGGGATGCAGTTGTTTGGGAAGAACTACAAGGAATGTGTCTGCAAAATCGCAAGTGACTGTGAACTTCCACGCTGGCACATGCAAGATTTTTTCCACTCTTTTTTGATTGTATTTCGGGTGTTGTGTGGAGAATGGATAGAAACGATGTGGGACTGCATGGAGGTTGCTGGCCAAGCCATGTGCCTTACTGTCTTCATGATGGTCATGGTGATTGGAAACCTAGTGGTATGTAATCAAAGCGTTAGCAAAAAATTATTTGGCAATAGAGTGGGCTCAATCCTGAAGTGAACTAAGTGCTCTGGCTCTGCTTCAACAAAGCACTTACGCAGGTGGTTTCAAGCGATGCTTCAAGTTAAGCTTAAGAGCTTTTTTGGATTGAGAACAAAGTATCCTGCAATATCAAAATCCTAAGAATGTTAGAGTGAGCACTTAGTCACATTCTTAATTTGTCTTTTGGCTCTTTGTAAATATTTTATGCTTCAAATAATTTTAGTTTATGGGCTCTTTATAAACCATTTGCTGTGGATTTTTTTATTATTTATCCTGTATGATTAGTCACCTAAATAATCTAATTTCTGCTGTGTGATGGGATAAATTAAACTTTTTAATGATGCTGAACAGCAAATCTGTTATCTCCATTTTTAGATTATAAGATTTCGCACCAAAATATTTATATACTGTGGGGATTTAAAGACACATTTACAGATGTTAGTCAGGTGTAGGAATATTTTGGAATAGTGAACAGGACCTAAACAAAATTTTAAAAGGTCAGGTTTTTTATGGAGAGGAGAAAAAGTTTTGAGGGTGCTTTTCTTTGGTTATGGTGAATTATCAGGATTTCAGTCTTCAATGTCACTAATATGACAATTTTTAATAAAAGAAATGTTCTTTGTCGGGATAAAGAAAGTCTAGAACATCCTTTTTTTATCTTTCTGCAGGTACTGAACCTATTTTTGGCCTTGCTCTTGAGCTCATTTAGTGCAGACAACCTTGCTGTGACAGATGATGACAATGAAATGAATAATCTCCAAATTGCTGTAGCAAGAATGCAGAAGGGCATAGATTATGTGAAGAGAAAAGCACGCGAATTCATCCAAAAAGCTTTTGTTAAAAAACAAAAAGCTTTAGATGAAATCAAACCACTTGAAGATCTGAACAACAAAAATAGCTGTATTTCTAACCATACAACTGTGGAACTAAGCAAGGACCATGACTATATTAAAGATGCAAATGGAACAACTAGTGGCATAGGCACAGGCAGCAGTGTGGAAAAATACATAATTGATGAAAGTGATTACATGTCATTCATAAACAACCCAAGCCTCACTGTGACAGTGCCCATTGCTGTGGGTGAATCCGACTTTGAAAATCTAAACACAGAGGAATTTAGTAGTGAATCAGACCTGGAAGAAAGCAAAGAGGTATTTAGATATTTTGTGCATTTCTCTCTGATTTTTTGAGTATTTTTTGGTTTTTTTCAGCATAAGCCAGAGTATTCAGTTCTTGATCATTTGTTATTTTGACATTTCTTTGTACATGGGCATAAATGAGTGTATAAAGGAGGGTTTAATTCTTGATGAACAAAAGTGTGAGAAAGGGTTAAAAATTACAGTCTCCAAGAGGAGATAAGAGGTCAGGCAATGGGAGACCAAACTAACCCATAAGAACTGTTTACGGTCCGTATGGTAGTTGCAACAACTGGTAAAGTAGGGCAGTGCCCTAGCCACAGCCTTATTTCACCAGAAACTTTTGTTTGCCTCCTGTAACAAGGGTCCCATGAGGAGTGCCATACCTCATCTCTCTGCCACTCAAAAACTCTCCCTCTGTGGGATTTTTTTTGTGAGTGGGTATAAACCAGAAAACACAGAGATAGTTTATGTATTTCCTTTAGACACTGCAATTCTTTTAGATTTTAAAACTGTCAGCTCTTCTAGACCCAGAGTCCCATAAAAAGAAGTTTTAACCATAGACGCTTCTATATACTTCAAATTCATTTAGTTGTTAAAACTGAAAAGTAGTATCAACAGACAAAAATATCTCATGTTGTTAGGGAATGCCAAAGCAGGCTATAGATATAGGGCCTTGTTGAGAACGGTATTTTTAAAAAACACATTAAGGCTATAACTGTTCCTTTACATGACTTTTTGTCTGTGGCTATTCTAACAAGATAATTTACATCGATTTGATAACATAATTTGCAAAACAACTACACCCTCAGTGACTTAGCTTGTTGACATTTTAGTCAAATCAGAAAATTATCTTTCCAGACACTCAAAAAAATTAATTTTCTGGCTTGAGGAACCTCAACCTTAAACTAGCTAGTTTGCATTCTGGTAGCAATCCAGTTTCTTTGTGGGATAGCTCATCTTCCCCCCCACTGCTGTATTGCTAACAATACTTCAGACACCTGATTTTAGGCTAGCAGAATTCTGTACTGCTGCCACTTCAGTGTGCATAAGCCTTCTTGTGTTCTTAACAAAAACCCAGTGTTAAGCTAAGCGCAATCTTTGGATCCTCCCCCGGGAAAGGAGACCTGTACAAAGCAGCCTCTCCCCATGGCAACGTATTTCAGAGACACTATTGTTCCCATTTCCCAATTGATACCTGGAGCATTAACATTTCTTTTCCTGCTAAATACTAGCCAAAAATTTGGCTTTGACTCAAGCTTCTGAACCACTGCCACAGTAGAGGTTATAAGAATGTATTTGAGCACATTATGAACTTGCCCCAGCTGGAAGAATTTCTAAATAAAACAACATTTAAACAAAGATCCATTGGAGAATAACAACCACTGGTCATCTACTCTCCCCACAACTACCTTAATGCTGGCCAGTGCAGTCCAGTCTTCTAACCCATCATAGAGCAGGCAGTCAAATGGAGTGACACAAGCCGGTTTACGACAGACCAATGGGGAATAGATTCAGTTTAGGAAAGCTTTCTGTAACTGTGCTGCTACCTGTAGGACCAGGGTTACCTTTTATCCCATTGAGAAAGTAGTATGACACTTGGGCCTTCCTCCAGCAGCTCTGTCACATAGTTTTCAGTGGGAAATCCATCCAGCAGTGCTGTTTTGGATCTGAGTCTACCACCTTATTTTATATTGACTGCTAGTATAATGGGACTGTAGAAAAGAAATGATAAACACTAGAAAAGCAGAACCTTTGAATTAGCTGAGTTTTTTGACGCGAGCCCACTTAGAAAAGACTGTATGGATCCCCTACTTCTCAGGCCAGAAGGCACTAACAGGTGAGTTCCAGCTGGCTTCAGACCATGTTGAGTTTTTCAGCACCATTCCTGGAGTTTTACAGTGCTGTCCAGGATCCTTTTTTGCTGGTTGGGTCAGCTCTAAAAGCAGTGGGTTTCTGTGGGGGTTTTGTTTGGTTGGTTGGTTTGGTTTGGTTTGGTTTTCAGCTGGGTACTCTTTTCTCCTTTAGCAAATTAACAAATTAATAATCTTAAAATTATAAATTAATTTCAAATAGATTAATTTTAGTGTGCAAAAAGTAGCTGACTAATATTACAGAAAACCTGCTTCTTAGAGGAAAATAGAAATAAAATGAAAATTTTTTTCTCAAAAACAAAAAAGCTTTGGAAATGTTTTGAAAAGTATTTGCAGAATTGTTTTGAAAAGTGGTAAACCATACTGCAAAGGATGATTTGTGAAAATTGGATTACTAGAAGTATACGGTATTTTTGTAAAAATATCAGACAGGCAACTCTGTCATGTAATTTGGAAAAAAACCTCTATAAATTGGTTCTTGTGACAATGACAGAGCCCGAAACTGGATACATCAACCCGTTTTCCTAATAAAGTTGCAACATTGTTCTTCCAATCTCTGTAGTCACCACAAGATGAAATTAACTAAAACCTGGCTACTTTAAATATTACAATTTTATTAAGCACCATGCAACTCAATATCAGTGAGTCTTGGAATTGTTACTGAAAAATGGACTGGCTGCTTCTTTAGTAAGAGCTCTGTTGTTAGGGTTTGGGCACTTTTTTGTCCTCAATATCAAAAAGCCTGCTGCAACCTAGCATTGATGAAGCTGTATTGCATTTATTCCGTTATTTTGTTTACCTCTACATCCTTAAATATGTTTCCTTCACAATTTTTACCCAATCTTAGCCATGATACCGACCAGCTAGATTGCAACTGGTGTCCAGCTGCACGTTACAACACTTTTAGAATTTTTAGGATGAGGATTAGTTTAAGTGCATTCAGTTTTTAAAAATTTGGTTTCTCTCTCTGTACGCTCATTGTGTTATTGAAAATGTAATTAGGTTATAAAACACAACCTGATGTTTTATGGGCCACCCTTAAGCTACTTCAGCCTTGTTGTATGCAGCTTCTCCCTCACTCTGAGCTAGACTTCCAGCAGTTTTAATCTGGACTTGCAGACCTCTAAAGTGTATCCTCTGCTGATCTTTTTGCTTTATGCTTTTTTTCCCCTCATTCCTCTGAGCTCCCACCTCATTTATATAGTTATATTTAGGCTCTTACCTGCTTTTCAGTAGACGCTACAGATTCCTGGATACATATTTAAGCTTCATTATTTCTATGTAGGACAAGAGATCTTTGCACTTATGGGTAGTTGTGGTCATAAATCTTTGCAGGCTTAGCATCATCACTCATATTTTTCAGTTTAAAGCATAATTTTGTTTAAAGCCTTATCTATCACTGATACACCTTCTATTTAATGGATCCATACAATGCAGAAGGAAAACCAACGGTTGTACAAATTCCATATACGTTTATCAGCAATTTACTTATGTGGAATACTAGAACATTCAAAAACATAGCAGAATTCTTTACTTATTCTGAACACAACTAATATTTGCCTTAAAAATATTTACTGTGCATTTGTGATGCTTTTTTTTTCCCTTTACAGAAGTTAAATTCGTCTAGTTCATCCGAAGGTAGCACCGTTGATATTGGACTTCCTGCAGAAGAACAACCAGAAGCTGAACCTGAAGAAGCCCAGGAGCCAGAAGCCTGCTTCACAGAAGGTGTTTGGAACAAAAATTATAATACTTACTAATAATACTTATTCATTAAATATGGAATAGTTATCTATTTAAACTAAGTATTAATATTTGTGTATTGAATTACTCTTTCGTTAATGTTTAAATATGATTATTAGCAGTAGTACTTTTAGACCATAATTTACCATATGGATACTGATACTGCAATTATACTATATACCAGGTAAACGATTAAGAAAACATTTTATCAGAAATTTATCATTACTTTTAAAATAAGAAAAATATACTACCGGAAATTTTATTTTATTATGAACTACTATACTTTCTGAGTTTAGTTACAGTCTCTTAGATAATAAAAGAACACACTAGTTTTATAGCACTCTTCATAGATATCTATCAAAGTGCTTTATAAAGTATACATTACTGAAACAGCTGTTGAACAGTAAATAAAAACTGCACCTGGATGGTCTTGTGCAAAACACTAAAAGAACCTTCTACAAATTGGCAAAAAGAGAAGGAAGAGCCTCTGTGTGCCACCTGGGGCAAGAACAGTCTCACCTGGTGAACTCATTCATCTTTCATGCTTCCTTCTATTGGCCCTTTTACACAACTCAATAAAACAAGAATCTGGTCATAAACTTTATTTGCAAAGGCATTTTCTTGTGAGACACTTTAGGGATGTGTGCATGTGAAGGAAGTGGGGAAAGGAATAGGTTTAAAACAGTAAAGTAAGGATACAACTGCCATTTTTGGTACCCGTAAGCAAAAGTTAGATTTAGAGTTTGGAAAATGCTACTGTCAGTGCTGGGGTTGGGTTATTTCTGGACATGATAACAGACATTTGTTTAGAAATTTACACTGAACTAGTAAGAAATAGTACTGTGACAGGCAGATTTGGCAAAGAAAATACCATTATTAATTACTAGTATTTTTCTACCCAAATGGAAGAAGAAACAAAATCAAGTCAGCAGCTAAATCATAAAAGCTTAAATAAATTAAGGGCACAAGTTAGAGAAGTTAGCTGGGACTGAAAAGCTCAGAACTCAATAGGAGGCCTAGAATTTTTCATACAATAAATGCAACATTGTCTGAATTTAGCATCCCAAACAAAAGAAAGTACAATTTAATAAGACTTGCCTATATCTTACTACCTAAACCTACTATAGATTTGGATGAGTTTGTATGTTTTTACTCATACTTTGTATTTTGTAATTTGGCTTCATGTTCCATGGATGTTCCATGGACTTTTATCTTATGGGGTGCACTGTATTGAGCACTTAGTTCTTGATAAATGAGAAATACTTTCTTCTTAGTTGTTCATTTAATTCTAAATTCCAGATGTTTCAGTGCTAAATTTTTTTGCTTTGAAGAAAAAGAGGGTCATCTAGGTGTAAATCTATTGGGTTTTTACTAAATAGCACACCTTCTGGAAAGGTAGGATTGTATCATTAACAGAATGCATAATCAAAATTAATGCAATCCAACAAAATCTCTCCCCCATTACATACACTGTTTTAAAGGCTGTGTACGAAGGTTCAAGTGCTGTCAAGTAAGTATAGAAGAAGGGAGAGGAAAGCAGTGGTGGAACCTTAGAAAAACCTGCTTCAAGATTGTCGAACACAACTGGTTTGAGACTTTCATTGTCTTTATGATTCTCCTCAGTAGTGGAGCTCTGGTAAGTAAAAGATGAACAGAGTGTCACAATGTTGTCAGATAACTTCCTAAAAGTTGGCTCTTCAGACATTGTTTTAACTTAGTTTTCTCTGCCGGAAAGAACACACAATTCTATGTTTTCAAATGACAGGGCTAAATTTTAGTCAGGCCTTTGAAAGAATGGTAGAAAAAGTCTCTTCTCAAAAATGTGTCGAAAAAAGAGCAGACATAATTGGTTAGAGAGCTTAACTCCTTTGCTGAAAGTGATAGTGATACGCCTGAAGCAGGGAGAGAGACAACATAGGAAGAAAAGAACATACTTTGTTATTTGAGTTTGCTCTCTAGTTTTACTGGTGTTTACTCATGTAACTCAGGGAAAAGAACTGTCACTGATGAAAAAAAGAAGAGTTTGGAAGTAACGGTAATGGCATAAACAGCTCACAATACCTTGCAAGAGCCAGAGTCTTACACACTCTTATAAATGTTATGTGCTAGAACAGCAAGAAAGATTAACACTCTGTGTTTATAATTATTCCATTCTAAGAATAAGAATTCATTATTTATGCTTCTAATTCAGCTTCTACAGCCTCATACTGATGTAGACTAAAGGGATATCCGTAAAAACATGAACTTGCTTTAAGTTTAACAAGTATGTGAGGGCAGAATAAAAAGAAGCCAACCCTAATATAAATCTATAACAATAAAGGAAACAAAACATACCAATGATATGTTATTTCACAAATACAAATAATGACAAAGAATAAAGAAATTGGAGATGAACTGTTAAATAAAGGTAAGCCTGGATACATACTGAGCTGAAGTTTCTTAGGCAAACTACATACCCTGAAATAACGTAGAATATATCTTGCATCTACCCTGGTAGATGCAATTACCCTTTGGTAAATTACTTAAGTTCCTACATCACAAAAAAAAAATTGTGTTGCAAAATTGTATTATAAACTCTTCAGACCATTTCCAACACCTTGAAATGCCGCTAATGGTTAGCAGTTTATGATTATGCTTACCATTTGTTTTGGTTAAATAAGAATCATTCTGCTTTTGCTTGTTCTAATGTCAACACGACCATCACATAAGCAACTTTACTCAGCACCATGTGACATGTTCCCTGTGATTTAAAACCCTCAAAATAACAAAGACTCATGTCTACACTATTGAATTTTGCCTCTTGCTACCAAGAGGAGAAAACCTTTAGTGACAAGAATTTAAGTGAGGGAGAAGTACTAGCAAGAGACCTGATCAAGGTGAATTTCCATCATTGTATTTAGAGCAAGTTTGAGATGAGATCCCACAGCGTTAGCATCTTGCGCTTGTGCGCCTGAGGTGTGTGTCATCCACAGCACATGTATGTTGCGAAAGTGCTTCAGAGACAAGGGACTAGCCCAAGCCTCTGGCGAAGCGAGACCCTGCTCTGCCTTCGGCTCCCTTTGTGGTGGTGGAAAGGTCTCCGTGGACCCGCCAGTACTGTATCCCACCGCTCAGCCCAAGACCACCCTCCAGACCAGTCTCACTGTCACCGCAGGCAGGACACGCGGCAGGCGGAGGCAGGCTGCGGGCTGCCCGCAACCCCCCCCCGCAGGGCGCTCAGCCAGGGGGCAGACACGCTTCTAGGTGCCGAGAGCGCTGCTAGCGTAGCCGCTGGCATGCTCCCACCTATAAGAAGGAAACGATACGGGCTGGCTCTTCCCGGTTGTGTGAGATAAAGTCATCAGTGACGACATACGAGTGGCAGGTACCGCAGTGCTTGATCTAAGTATCCAAAATTACTGATACACAGATGTTAATTTGGTGACTGACAGACAAACGCTAATCATTTGAACTGACAGATGTAAAGTGATTCAAAAGCAGGCTGGGTAAAAATGAATGTTAGCATCAATAAATATCCAGATCTTTGCAAGCTAGCAGATCATTCCAGTCCTTTCGATCCAATAAAATCAATTGCTCTCCATAAGAAATAGCAGCATAATTCAAATTTAAAAGCAATTAGAGGGAAAATATCTTGGAGGACAGGAAGAATTTCTGAAAAGCAGAAGCTGCATGTCTTTTCAAGTGTCTAAAAATGAAAACACACGAAAGGTGTAAATAACATTGCAAGCATCTCAGAAATCTTATGTATCTCATAAAATGTGAATAATACAGTAAAGCAGGTATTTGATTTAGATAAATATTTTTTTACAAAAGGAAGAACTTGTTTTCAAAAAGCAACAGGACTTAAAAAGAAAAGGTCAATTGTATTGTCATTGTACTGAAAATCTTACAGCTACGGCCTTGGATTTTTAAAATGGATCTACCTACATACAAACCAAATGATCTCAGTAGAATTCAGTTGAGGTACACCACTGTGCAGAATCAACGCTATTTGTGAGTACTGAAAATTATCTGAGAAGAATAATTCACCATCTGCAATAAACAAACAAACAAACAAACAAATAAATAAATAAATATGACCAGTGGAGTGGTTGCTGTCTAATATCTGCTTCTCCCTCCTGTGAGCTGGAAAATATAGTTCCATAGGGGAAAAACAGGTATATAGTGAGTTAGCAGAAAAGGAAAAGTTAGATAAAAGTGACAATCCCATGCCTTTTATTGAAGAGGGATTCTTTCCTTTTTTCATTGCCTTTTTTTTTTTTTTTTTTTTTTTTTTTTGTTACAACCTGAAATATGTGCCGTAACAAAAGGGAACAACAAATATCTTTGAATGTTTTTACTCACAGGCTTTTGAAGACATATATATTGAACAGCGTAAAACTATCAAGACCATGCTGGAATATGCTGACAAGGTCTTCACTTATATCTTCATTCTGGAAATGCTGCTGAAGTGGGTGGCCTATGGCTATCAAACATACTTTACTAATGCCTGGTGCTGGCTGGACTTCCTAATTGTTGATGTATGTAGTATATTTCCTAGGTGTTACTTTTATATTTATTTTACCTGTTTTTTTTAAATTACTTGCTCTACAACCACAATACCTATGTATACCAACTAGTTTACTTTTCAATTTAAAACGTAAGGTAGGTGGAAAAAAAAAAATCCGTGTTTCTGTCTTTCACTTTATACTTACAACACTGCCTTCCTATACCACAGAGTTAAGACTGGAAGTTCTCCTCCTAACAGAAGAACCTCACATGGTAGCCCCACAAGCAGTTAAAGGGTTTATCCCAACACTGCTGTTGAAAGACGTCATGCTGTCCTCCTTTCTGCCCCTGGCTGCTCATTCCCACCTTCAGACCCACCTTCCCTCCTGCTGTGGTCTGTCACATCCAGCATTTAGATGGGTGTCTGGTCCACCAGACATCAGACACACACCTGAACTAAAAGTCCTCTGGCAAGAAAACTAACACCATGTCCACAAATGTCAGCATATGGCTGAATTAGGGTTTTACAAGAAATGCAAGATGTATCTGTAGCGTTGGTGGTATGGCTTACTTAGTACTAAAGTCCAATAAATATTACTAAACTTGCAGTCTTCACAGCTGTGTTTGAAATCAGGCTTAATAATCTTTCCTGCAAGGGTTATCTCATAGTTATAACTCTGCTGTGCTGTGAAATGAGGGAGACCATTTCTTGATGCATTGATACAATTATGGAGAATTTAAGAATTAATGTCCTAAGTATACCCCCTTGAGAAAACCTCCAAAGTGCAGAAATGCATACTGTTTCTGCAGTCTATGAGGTTGTGTGTATGAAACTAAAATACTATGGTTTACACAGTTATGAAACCACAACCAGTAGCTACATTTTTAAGATAGACTTTTCTGGTAAAACTTATAGGAAAAACAAATATTAAACAAGCTCGTTTTAAAATTAAGATACATTTTGTCCTGGTTTCAATGACTTAGAAACAGACACTGAATAGGTAAAAGGTAAACTTCATAAGCAGTTATTGACCCAAAGAATTGCTAAAAATTCAACAGTTTCTGAATGTGTTCCCAGCATACAAGGGCTAATCAAAGCAGTTCATTTTCTCCAGTTTTGTTTTGTGATGGGTGCCTGCAACCTTTTAGATTGCTCTATATTATGGACTAAATATATCTAGGATTCAGCTTCATATATGCAACTACAGATAACCATGTTCAAACATAGTACTCGTACAAAGAAAGCACCCTCTTTTTGGAAAACACATTAGTCCTTTAGTATCTAAATTCTTCTCAAAATGGGTACCTAAGTGGCACCTATAACAAAAAAGCTTGAAGAAGCATGCAAGCAGAAGCACCTGTTCCTTTTCTAAACTCATTTTCACTAATATTTGACCTCATTTAAATCATAATATCCCAAACAGCCATCTTGTGAATGTGAAAATTTGAATACGTCTTTGTGTGAAGGTATCACACATTCAAGTGTCTGAATAAGCTCATGATTGAATCCTGGATTTCTACACCTGGATATTTTCTTTAATTTCACTTTAGATTATGGCAGCTTGAAAGCTTGAAAGTTTTCAGTAGTATGATGAATGTGCTGGAGGAAGAAATTCAGACTTCAGAAGAACCTAGTTTTGTGTGTTGCTAGAGCTCAGGATTGACAAGTACAGAAAAGCTGTTAATTTTCAAAAGCTAAAGATTTCACTTATAATGCTTGTTTTTAAATATGGTTCATGAAGAGCACTGCCCTAGAGTTCTCTTTACGTGATGCATTGTTCTTTATAAAGAAAGAGTACATGAGACCATTATGCTAGTTTTGGCCCAATAAATAGTTAAAGGAATTAGAACAGCATAATGAAGGAGCATTTAGGGGAAACAGGAGAAAAACAGAAGGTATTTTGGACAGGAGCCATAGCAAATATAGAGAATATGTTATTTCTCACTGAGGTAGTGTGAGAACATAGAATATATAAAGGCCTGTGGAGTTCTACCACCTGTGGAACTGTTTTTATAAGGTCGTTAAGAAACAGCATGATCCAGGTTAATGTCAGGCTGTAAAGCACATAAATTCAGCAGTCAGGCAAATGGATTAGTCAGTGTAACTGAATATAGAAAAATGAATTTCTTTCTACCAATTTCCGGAGGAGCAATGTTGCTTTGTGACCTATCTGTTAATTCAAAACAGGCTTCAATCATTTCCCTTTCAGTTGTGGGCAATCAAATGTGCATTATCAACTATAATTACTGATCCCAACAGCACTGTAAAACAAAGAAAAAGTGAGAGCAATACCTAAATAGCTAAAAAGGAAAGATTAATTTAATTTGCTTTTGTGGTTTTAAATGCCCTCAAATCACTAGCAAAATATGAAATTCAGAAGTATTAATATTTCCAGATATTGTTACCTTATGATATTTTTGTTTGTTTATTTACCTATCCTACTCTTCTTTCATATTACTTCTTTCTTTTTTTTTTTTAATTTCTTTTTATTTAAAAGACTTCCCATTCCTGAAGAAAGTGGTCCAAAGTTAGATTCTTCTAAAGAAGCTTGTATCTCACATCTATGGTATGTAAAGTAGTATGTACAATATAATAATTTTTACTTTCCTGTTTTCATATAGGTCTCTTTGGTTAGCTTAACAGCAAATGCATTGGGTTACTCTGAACTTGGTGCCATTAAGTCCCTTAGGACACTAAGAGCTTTGAGACCTCTAAGAGCCTTGTCACGATTTGAAGGCATGAGGGTAAGACAACATGACAGAATCTGAACCTATGCATGCATAGAAAGAATCCATGCATGCAGAATAAGGAATGACAAGTCCATGCAGAAAGGCTGCACTATCTTTTTATCTATTGCATATCTTTTACTAACAGATAAGCAAAAAGCTTCATCAATTCACCTAAATCCATACGCAGTATCACATAGAAGTTACATTCATTAAGGTTACTTTACTTTCTAGCCAATCTCAGGAGTTTTCTATATAAGGCTTTGAAATTACCAACTATGAACTCTCTTAACAGACTCCTAATAATGAATAAAATGTAGCAAGATTTTATTAATGTTTTACTGATAAACATATCACAATATTTATACAGGAATCTAATTCAGTATTAGTTAATAAAGATATTTTCTGTTACTAGTTGAAATCCTTCATTTTTCATTATATTTGATAAACCACCTTTGGTCTAACCCCATTGAATTTTACTAGATGGTACTAGAGATATGTTCATACCCACTAGTGGTTTAAATCTATTTCTGAGTTTGGCTGACTAAAACCAAATCAAGTTATTTGATTTCTCTATGAAATCATTCTTTTTGTAAGGTAAATACCTTTCTTATTTCAACAAATCTCTATTCAATATTCAATACAATGTATAGAAAGTTCTTTTTTACTTATTCTGAGTAACTTAGAGGCCCTGCTTACTATTCATCTCACTCAAGAAAGCATTTCAACTTATTTTTTCATTTGTTTATACCTTCTGTTCCTTAAAGCCACTGAATACAAACTAACTCTATATGCATGTCATTGCTACTTCACGGAAACATAAGAGGAAACAACGCGCTAATGAATTTCAAGTCAATCATAAACCAGTGTAATAGCCTGCACAACCTTTAGATACAAACCTAAGTTTAATCAAGTCAAATTGAGGCTTAGAATTCTGTTCCTTAAATTGTATTCATCAGGCTACATATCTCTACTTCAGAATGCTTCAGAAAAAAATATTGCTAATGAATGATTACTAGATTAATAAATTTCAGTTTCATGTAGCAAATTGACTTTTAACAGTTTTCTCAGCATTTGAAATTAATGAATTGATATTCAGCAGGGTAAGAGCTGGTCAAGTACTACAGAATGTACAAATTTTCATTTAAGTATGGAATGACTATTTGATTTAGCCATTTTCTCTTTGTCTTTCTTTGTACTTACTGTTCATGAACATTCAGATAACTGTGGTTTTGTGTGGAGAAATGTTGAGAAATTGTTGTCAGCTTTACTTTTTTAATAATGTTCTGGTCAGCTGCAGGAGGACTTGGAGACCAGTATAGAAGTTACACAGGGACAAGAAATGCAGCTTTTTAGGTGACGTTGGAAAAAACAGATTGTTTCTAGAAAGATAATGTCAAAATTGATTGCCAAAGGTTTTATTCAATTTTTCTGTATCCTTACATGATAGCCTTACTAAATTTTCCACTTAAAAGATTTAGGATATTCATGCTCAAAGAAAAGTACCTGTTATTTCAAATCTATTTACTGCTTTCCCTTATTTCTCACTGAATAACTATGAAACTATGCCAGAAGCCCAATCATATGATAGAATTTCAGATACACAACATGAATAATTCACAAGCAACTTACTGTGTAGGAATCACAGAAGGGCCTGGAAAAGCAAAAAAGGTTTCAGCTCTGTCCTCCAATATTAATGATAATCAATGAAGTACCTGATTCCAGTCACTTAGCTAATTTGACTGGCCAACTGTGTAGGCCTTATCTTTACTATTAGTTACATGCACTTCTGAAAATGGTTTTTCCAAAGCACTTGGCAAGTATTCACAACAGCTCATTGACAGATAGTAGCGTTACTTTATGAATGACTCACGAACAGTAAAAAGGTTCAAATAATAAATAATTGACCAGCTCATAATAAGACTATAGTCAAATTAGTCTTCTCAGAAACTGAGTTCATTTCATAAAAATCCATAAAACCAGATTCTTTTATCTGCCAACAGAAAGTAAAATCAACCCTCTTTGCTTTCTTATATTGCCTATACCTATGCTGAGCTGTGACAAAACAAGCTGAGTTTTTATTCAACATGTATTTATAATTTCAATGTTTAACCCCATGTTCAAAATTGTGCAAATTTTGCCTTGAAAATGTAAGAGATCGCATGTATTCCACAAAAGTCCCTGGATGTATAAAGCTCTGCATCATTCTGTAAAACAATCTGCTAAGTTCTCAGCTACTTTAAAACAATCATTTTCTTAAATAAGTTTACCATTCCAGTGAATTGGAAGAATACAGCATTTTACATAGTCAGTAAATACTAATAACTATTCTGTTATCCCTAAATATGAAACATACTTCACTTTTTAAGTTATATTCTTATAAGTCTACAGTTATAGTCTGTAGTTACAACTTAATTTTGTCATTATGCCGTTTCATAAATGGGATAAATTCTCTTTCCAAAGTGAATATAAGATATATGAACCAGTTGCACCAAAACAGGGGACAAGTGGTCCAGAACCTGTGCTTGCCTTGAGCACAAAAGTGAATTTTGCCATATTAAAGGCATTTAAAATATCTGCTAGTATACTGAATTCTGAGAAATTTTAATATTTTCTATAGTGAATCTCAAAACCGACTCCACCCAGATGCTGGAAGGCAAAGTAAAGAATTGCTTTAATTTAATTTAAATTTCTGTCTTAGGGTTTATATTCTCATCTCAGTGTATGTACTGAGCAGAAGTATCTGCAAACTGAGATTTGAATATACCCATTGCTTTTTGTTTAGCTTTTTAGTACTTGCAATATAACGCTTTTGCGCTAGTTCTGAATTGGTATGCTACTTGTAAATGTAGAATACTGAGTATATGTTGCTTTGCTGAGTTAGAGAATTAAGTGACAATAAAGCATGCATTTGTGTCTAATTTCACAAAATAAAGCATGTCATGCCGTGCTTGATTTATTTATTAGAGAAATAGTAGAAGGCAGCAAACAATCTGAAATCCACTTGCACTTTCAGTTTTGCATGCCTTATGCATATTTCTGGCTGATGGCTTTAAACATTTACTGTATTTCAAATTTCCAGTCCAATTTCATAACTTGTAAAACTAAATTAGAGTATTTGATGTCTTAAATATCCTCTAAAATTCAGTGGCTCTTCCTTAGATTCCCTTACCAGGAAAACGATAATGAGGCATTTTCAAGAGTATTCTAAACTTGATTAGTAGGAAAGAAACTTTTCTCATATGATTGAGTTATAAAACATAACATCAAGTGTCTGTCATTACAGATTCACAACTAATAACAGGCTATATATTTCTATTTCATATAGGATAACCTTTCTTCAGCTTGGATGGGGTGGACCACTGGTTCCTCCCCTTATCTGTATTATGGGTACAGTATTTCCCCCTTTTCTACCCTTAATGACTGCAGTGTAACTAATCACTACATTGTGTATTTAGGGTTAGAAGGAGAGACAATCTCATCTGAGAATCCCAGTAGTAGTAGTAGCACCCTACACCCCCTTCTTAATTGCTTTAAATCTTTGGAAATAATCCTTTGAAATTTCTGATGTTACAGAATTAACATGAAATCTTTTAAGAAAATCAGTATCGTTATTTAGAGTGATCTGAGTTCTTTTTGCAGGACAAAGGTACCTCAGCTATTTTTAGATTTTTAGATGCTTTTTTAACTGAGATAAAAAAATGGCTTTCTTTAAAAATTTGAATCTGGCTTTTACATTGTTTTGGAAAGATCTGTGCTTTACTCTGTTACTCAATTTATAGCTACATACATTCAAAAATATCCCATAGAAAGGTTTGAACTTTTAATACATTAAGCACACACCAAAACACTACGATGTGAATAGTCACAACTACAGATATTTATATAATTGCAGTTTAAATTCTTGCATAATTTTTAAACCCCAATATATATTACATTAAGTAAACCACTCAAAGTGTATATAGATAACACAAGACATTGTATAACATAAATAATCCTTTCTTGGAATCTGAATTCAGACTTCTTTGCCCTGCGTTGGAAACTAGTTTTTGTAATTTTTATAAAATGCCAATAACAGTATTGTTTTTATAGCATTTTTCTTAGAGTTTAGAAATGTCCTGCAGGAGACGTGTCAGTGATATACAAAATTTGCATTCATTATGAGATCCTTAGAAAAATCCAGCTTTTAGACTACAACCCTTGCAAGTACCAACTGTAGGAGGGTATCATTAGTGCAGGGGGGTTTATAGCTTCAGTGTAAATGATGTATCAACATAAACACCATTCACTGTAAATTTAGCATCTCATCTCACAGTTAAGAATTATGTATTCACTCTCAGGAAAGTGTGTTCACTATCTTCTGCAAGTTTCTCTTAAATACAGAGGAATACATTGTGTTGATCAAAAGATTATGCACTTTGAAGGATTTTTTGAGGACTGTGATCTTATTCATTACGTTCGAGTTTTAAGGAAAATGTATTAGAAGTGTTATGTCTCTGAAAGACAATTAAAAAAATTACAAACTTCGATGTAAGAAGACTCTTTATATAAATGTTCATAAATCATACAGGACATATCTTAGTATTTTGAGATTTTTCTTAGACTGTAATTCTACAATTAGAAGAGCACTTTTGAAGGAGTTTCTTATATAATTGAAACTGATAAAATTTTTGTCTGGACATGTGTTTGTTGTATCTTGAAGAAAAACCTTACTCTTAGAATCAAAATTTAATGAAATTTGAATGAGATACACAATATAGTTTGCATTTTAATTAAAAATGTTAAAGAACACATAAAGGTCAATAATGTTTCATTTATGCAACAGGAAGAGCAAGAAGTTATTTTTTTTCACTGCATCTGGTGAACTTCGAAGATATTGTTCCCACATCAAATAATTACTCTGTTTTCATGCTCGTGTGTATTTAACAATATTTACCAGGTCTTCTCAAAGAAATGCAGCCATGTGATTTATTGCTTGGCAAATTATTGTATTTTGTCATACAGTATGTTAAATTATG